TTTTACTGACAATAGCTGCTATTATCTCTGTCAAACAGGCAAAGCCTCGAGTGATTGTGGTAAGCAAGAAAGAGGAATGCTGTTTATTCAGTGCTGGAAAACAGACTATTTGACAGGCTGCAAAGAGTACCGAAAAGGTATTGAGTCTCCGAGTTTGAATTAACCACAAAAATAACCTGCTGAATTAAAAGCTTTTCCATGGACCTCTGCTGCTCCCTAACGGTGCCTTAAAGGATTCTCAGCACGAAGTCTGTGTTTTCCTCCTGTAATCAAGTTTTAGTAAAACTTTTAATGCAAAACAAACAAAAGAAGTATTCATGGTCCTTTGGAGATGAGACCTGAACAGATAACCCACAGGTCAGATAGCTGTTGCTGTACACATGACCAGGATATTTGGGATGAGGTGAGGATGCTGGTAAAGGAGAGCTAAAACATGGGAATGAAGGTTTCGACTGTATTTTAGATGCAGCAATTGCAGGAGTCTGGGAGGTTGCAAATTTCTGGGAAATACCAATTTTCAGGGCTTTGTATAAATTAGAATACAAAATTTTTATTCATGCGTGCCAGTATTTCAAAGGGAAAAAATAGTACTTTATTGATTTGGTATAATTAATAGAAACTAATGTTTGCACTTGAGACGGACACATTTGGTTTCACTCTCCTCACACAGATGCCTTTATTTTATCCCCCAGTACAGCTCCAATGCTCGCTCAGCTAATGGCAAGGCCACTTCCATGACCAAAACCAACCTTGTTTTCATAGAATCACAGAAAGGTTTGGAAATCTTTAAGGAAAGGACCTTAAAAATCATCTTGTTTCACCTTGTTGTGGGTGACATCTTCCACTATCCCAGGTTGCTCCAAGCCCTGTCCACCCTGGCCTTGCACACTTCCAGGGATGGGGCAGCCACAGCTGCTCTGGGCAACCTGTGCCAGGATCTCAGCACCTTCATAGGGACGTCTAAGTCCTAACAGCCAATATTCATTTCTTCCTTTTAAGTTTAAAAGCATTCATCTTGTCCTATCTCTTTCTGTACGTAAAAAATTGCCTCCCTTACACAAGCCCCCTTTATAAGCCACTTTTATTAAGATGGGAAAGCACACACTGGGTCTTACAGTGCGGCCTAACAAAACCCAGTACTGGGAGGGATCGTATCCCATGGGGAAATGAGGGAAAAACAATGTTCACAGCCCTTCTAGATCCCCAGAGTCACCTGGGAGCGATGGTATCCCATGGGGAAATGAGGGAAAAACAATATCCACAGCCCTTCTAGATCCCCAGCGTCACCGGTCCCTCACACGCCACCCCCTCATGGCACAGGGGGGTCCTGCCCTGTGACTCCTCCTCAACTCCTGGTGTGAAACAGGGAGAAAGTGGGTGTGGAGGCTAACCTGGGGAAAGGGGTTCATCTCCAGAGAAGGGGTTCATCCCCAGAGAAGGGGTTCATCCCCGGAGAAGGGGTTCATCCCTAGAGAAGGGGTTCATCCCCGGAGAAAGGGGTTCATCCCCAGAGAAGGGGTTCATCCCCGGAGAAGGGGTTCATCCCCAGAGAAGGGGTTCATTCCCTAGAAGGGGTTCATCCCCAGAGAAGGGGTTCATTCCCTAGAAGGGGTTCATCCCCAGAGAAGGGGTTCATCCCAAGAGAAGGGGTTCATCCCCAGAGAAGGGGTTCATCCCAAGAGAAGGGGTTCATCCCAAGAGAAGGGGTTCATCCCCAGAGAACGGGTTCATCCCCAGAGAAGGGGTTCACCCCCAGAGAAGGGGTTCATCCCCAGAGAAGGGGTTCATCCCCAGAGAAGAGGTTCATCCCCGGAGAAGGGGTTCATCCCCAGAGAAGGGGTTCATCCCCGGAGAAGGGGTTTATCCCCAGAGAAGGGGTTCATCCCCGGAGAAAGGGGTTTATCCCCGGAGAAGGGCCCGGGAGCGGCAGCTCTGCCCGAGGCCGGCGAGGGGCCGTGAGGAGAGGGCGCGGGGGGGGCGGACATGGCGCCTTCCGCGCGCGAGCGTGGCGGGTAATGGCGGCGGCGCTGAGGGAAGGGGAGGGAACAGGCCGTGAGGGCTGCCCTGCGCCATCGCCCCCCGCCGGCTGCGGGAGGGAGAGAGGGAGGGATGGGAAGGGAAAGGAAAAGAAAGGCGCTGCTTCCGCCACGGCGGGGCGGGCCTGGGCGGAGAGCGGCGGTGCGGCGGGGCGGCAAGGGTAGGGGCGGTGAGGGCCGCGGCCCGGCGGGATGGGGGTGGCCGTCTCCCTGTCTCCATGTCTCCCTGTCTCCATGTCTCTCTCAGAAAAAGCCTGGTGGAGCCGGGGTGGAAAGCAGGGCTCGAGGTTTCTTTCCCCCTCGGTGGCAGCTGCCCGCGTTAGCGGGGCCCCTGTCAGGCAGCGGGGCCGTGCGGGGCAGTGATGCCATCGCTGCGGGGCTGCGAGGTCCCCCCCGGTCAGAGGTGCGGGTTTGTACTGAAATTAACCTTAGCGTGTGTATTTCAAACTACGGGAAGGATTCGGTCTTTTTGTAGCCCGTCGCGCATGTTTTTAATGTAATGCTGTCGTGCTGTTGCCGTTTTGTTCCTTTTCGGAAGCGATGGAAGCGGGTCCCATCGTGACGTCCAAGCAGCGGGAGGAGGTGGTGCACGGGGTGCCCACGGAGGTGGTGTGCACGGCCTTCTCCAACTCCGTCCTCGTGGTGGTCACACAGTACGGCAAGATGGGCACCATCGTCTACCTGGACCCCAACATCATCGGCGACGACGTGGGCAGGCCCTCGCTCACCACGAAGGTGCTGCTGGGCAAGGATGAGGTGAGGTGAGAGCGGATGCGGAGCGCTGGGGCAGCAAGGATAAGGGGGAAATGGAGTAGGTGGGGCTGTGCAAGTTGCCAGGGAGTTGATGAATCACAGCAGTTAAGCAGTGTTTGACTAGTGATAAGATTAATTTTAAAATGAGGAAAGAGGGGCTCATCAGAAAAGTATGTGTGCTCGTCTGCTCTGTGGACATAAAAGTATAACTAACTGTGAATGGTTTGGCGATCTGTTGTTTTGTATCCTACAGGATATGGATTGCTTCTGCATGTTTATGGAAAGTTTGATAAAGCTCTGTTGATTTAAGGGTTGCAAGATTAAATATGCAGCCATTGATAACCTTTTTGGGTTTCTGTTCCAGTGAGTTTGTTTTCCTTTCCAGGTCTGTTTTCCCACCCCCATCCTCCCCTGTCTATGCCAGCCCCATAATGGGCTTTAGTTGCCCACTCCCAAGTGTGCCTGCCAGCACCTTCCCTTGATAAAGTTTAATTTGTTTTGCTTCAACAAAATGAGGTTTTTATCGACCACTTCACAAAGCTAGAGAGAAAGCAGGAGCAAATGTGTTTCACAAAGCATCAACTGGTCAAACACAAAACAGAAAGTTACAGAGCTACAAGATTACGAGGCTTTCCATCAGGGTTGAAGCTATCACATATTACTTGCTAGATTTAACTAGAAAAGCTATAACAACACAAGTTTCTGATTTTATCCATGACTTTTCCTTGTGGAGTTCTTTCTCTTGAGCAATAGCCTTCCCTTTTTGGGAGATATTTTGCTTTCTCTGCTTTGATATATGCAAATGCTGACCACCTCCACCCCCAAACTTATTTTGTGTTTTATTTGGAAATGGGAAGTGCTATGTTTACTTTGTTCCATTCTATTTTTAAATAATTTTAACTAACTGATCTAAATTTCAAGAAAAGAGTTTCACTAGTTTGCTACTTTCCTGCTTGTCACTGCTAACATCCTTCTTGGGGACATTGCACACTTCCAAACAGCAGCTGAAATCAAGCAAACTCATCCTTCCAACAGATACACAACTATGGGTGTAAATAAACCCTAGACAAGCTGGGTGGTTCGAAGCTGTGCTGGGTGAGGTTGAGACTGGACATGGGAAAACACCTCTTCACCAAGAGTGTGGTCAGACACTGGAACAGGCTTGAGGTGGTTGATGCTCTGAGCCTGTCAGTGTTTGAGAGCCATTTGGACAATCCCCTGAATAATGTTTTAACCTGATCAGCTGAGTTGGTGAGGCAGTTGGGCTAGATGTCATTGTAGGTGCTTTCCATGTGAAATAGTCAATGCTGTTCTGATCTACTCTTGTTAAAGAAACCTCATGGAAAAGGTTATATCCCTTTTTTTGCCTCCTTCAGCTTCACTACTTATTTCTGCTCTTCATTATTCTTTTAAAATAAAAGGCAACATGTCTGTAACACCAGACATACAAAAACTGCGTGTTTAACACCATTTTGGGATCTCTAGGAATTACAAAAATAACAGGTTTTTTTCCAGAGCTTGTCAATGGAACATCCCCTCTTCAGAACAAGTTTTTAAACAAAAAAACTGTACTTGCAAGCTTCTTTAGAAACCTAGCCATAAATGAAATAAAGGCATTTGGATCCATAGCATTTCATATAATTTAACACTGGTGCCACAGTTCAGGTGGGAGGATTATGAAAGGAAAGATTCTCCGTACTGAGTTTCCAAGTTTCCCAGACAGTGCTGAACTCAATTCAAGTGCAGCTCCACTAAAGTTGTTTCCAGGTGGTGTGGGTGGCTGGCACACTCATGGGACCAAACTCTTCCTTTTAAGCTGGTTGAGAAAATGCTTTTTGAAGTTCCCTGTCCCATGGCTCGCCTTTGCTGACCATGTTGGAACTGGCCAACAAGCATCGAGCTCAGTCTGAGTCCAGAATCAAGAGGTTCTCCACATCACTCAGGGACTCTTCCTCTCCTGCAGGAGGGCTCTCCCATCTGTAGGAGTGTACATCTGTATCCCTTTGCTTTTCAGCCCCTTGTTCATGTTTGTGCCAAAAACCTGGTGGCGTTCGTGTCGCAGGAAGCTGGGAACAAACCTGTTCTCCTCGCCATGGCTTTAAAGGACAAAACCATGGAAGGAATACAGGCTCTACGAGAAGTGATCCGGAGCTGCCAAGTGTGGTGAAGTTGTGCCATCTGGATTCAAGGAAATGATCTTGAGTCCGTGACTCATCACCACCTATTTAAGGGGACTAGAAATGAAAATGATGGAATGTCTTTGTGGTGGTTTTGGACGTCCTGAGGAATTTCATGAATTTTTCTCTACTGTGTAGAACATTTGTGGGTTTTATTACTGGGACAGGTTTGCAAGTCCATATAGACAGTGGCGAGACGAAAGCAATTGTCTCAACATAGGAGAGGAGTGCTACTTTTATCATGTTGGGTGGGTCATTTATTTGGGAAAGGGCTCAGCTCTGCACATGTGTCCTGAGGAGCAGCAAATGCCAAGCTCTGTAGCTGTGCCATACCGCAAAGGGGGAACACCCAGTGCAGAGGGAATAAAAGAAACATTGTCAAATCAAATTTTACCTGTTTTCTTTTTTGCTCTATGAGAATCACTTCAATTGAAATACAAGCCTTGGTAAAAAATAAACAGTTGTATAATGGGAAAGATTTTCTTGCCTGTTTTTAGGAAATGAGTCCTAAATGGCTGCTTTTGTCCTTATGTCCATTCCTTTCTGGATGTAGTCTGAATTCATTTTCTGCTTTCACTGATTTTAAAGAGAGGCAGATCATGATGCTCTGCAAATTTCATGAAAGCTGATGTCAGGGTGGAAGACAGGAACCCAAATTAGTGGTAAGAAAATAATCTCTGCCAATGGATTACGTGGTACCAACACACCGGAGAAACAGAGCATCCATAGGCTGATCACCTGCAATGAACATCTGTCTTAGGAGATGTGGGGACACATGGTTTGAGGGGTTACACAGGGTTGTTTCTGACAAGTCACTTACAAAACATCTCAGATTATGTTGTATGAGCTGATGCAAAGATTAATAGCCAAACTTTTGCTTGGAAAGCACATTTGTTTTTACCTCTTATAATAAACAACAACAAGTAGTAAATTTTTAAGTGAGCTGTTACACACTTCTGTCACTTATGAACTTGACAGCACAGACGGAGGCCAGGTCTTGGATTCTGGGCATGGTGGAGTTGTGCTAAGACCAGTTGGTACAGCAGAAGCAGCACAGAGCCTGTGCCTGCCCCATCACGGTGATCCAGCTGCCAGGTCATTCTGTTGTTAAAAAATCCCCTAGAAGTAGAAAAGCAGAAAATGGATTTCGAAAGGACTCTTTTCTCTGAAATAAGAGTTATTTACAGCATTTAAAGGGATTATGAGAAATGAAACTCTTTTTAAAAAATACATTCAAACACGGCAGGCTTCCAGCTGCCCTTGACAAGAAACTGCATCTAAAAATAATTTTCTAAACTGTGCTTCCAAGAATCAAAGATTCGCATCTGTCAGAGCTATAAATTTTTCCTCTTTTCCACTTCCCTTTTTTTTTTTTTTTTTTTTTTTTTTTTTGTCTAGGAAGGCTGAAAGAGGCATGTGGAATTCGTTATTGTCAATCTTGGTTTGCTAGTAGGGATTCTCTTCTGACACAAAACTGAAGCTCTTACTGTGTCCACAGCTCCAGCAGCCTGAAGGGAACATGCATGAATCAGCAAATTGGATAGAAATTGCATCTTCCACTGTGGTGTGTACCACTGCTGTGCCCCAAAGAGCTGAGTGTTACTACCTAAAAGCCAGGCACAAGTTAAGCACCTTCATTTCCTGGCTGTGTATGTGCCACCTGGTCTGCACAGGGCAGTGGGTGAGGAAAGGTCATGGAAGCATCTCTGATTTGATGCTCGGAGCCAGGACAGACTTACCTTGCTGCCTTTCCATGTGTGATAAATTAGAGCACGAGCAATTGGTCCTTCGACTTTGCTCCTCTCTGCCGCACGATAAACCAAGGGGAAGGCCTGCTCAAACAACAGGCACAAGGTGCCACCAGCTGCCTGCCTTTTGTCACCGCTCTCCTCCAGGTAGGGATTAATTCCCGACTGCTGGGAAAGCTGCCTCTGCCACCCAGGCAGAGCTCCTGCCCTCGGCCCGTGTGCTGGGCGGGGGGCAGCGGTGTCGGGCCGCACAGCCGCTTTCCATCCGTGTTTGCTTTCCGGGCGTGGGTGCCGAGCACGGCGGACTGGAAAGGTAAGTTGGGTTAGCTTTTCTGCGGGAGACAAAGCCCGACCTGCTGCTCCAGCTCCCGCGGGGCCCGGGGCGCAGAGAGGGCGCTGGCAGGGCGAGCCGGGCACAGCGAGGGGGTGCCGGTAAGGTAAGCGGGGTGCCGGGACACAGCAGGGGCCAGCGGGGAGAGTGGGACGCTGCTGGGAGAAGTGGGGTGCTGGTGGGGCCAGGGCAGCAGCCAGGAGGAGCGGGGTGCCGGTGGGAGCCGGGCAGCAGCCAGGAGGAGCGGGGTGCCGGTGGGGCCAGGGCAGCAGCCAGGAGGAGCGGGGTGCCGGTGGGAGCCGGGGAGCAGCCAGGAGGAGCGGGGTGCCGGTGGGAGCCGGGGAGCAGTGCGGTAACCGGGGCAGCAGCAGCAGGCGGGCAGCGCTGGGAGGGTGTCCGGAGGAGGAGTCTCCAGCGGGGCAGGTGGAGGAGGGCACGGGGGATGCAGAGGCAGGTACACGGCAGCCAGACTCCCTCCCGGAGGAGCCCCAAAGGGTGAGTGGGGCCTGGGGGGTGCACAGCAGCTGGGGGAAACCCCACAAATCGGGGTTGACTCAGCCATTGGTTCTGAGCACCTGTGGGAGCCGCTGGGGGGGAAGAGCCTTCTCTAAGAGCCCTGTGCCTGCGTCATCCACTCCTCCAGATGGGCTTCAGGGAGCGCTCGATGCTGCCCTGCCGCGATTTGTAGCTGTGTGCCGTAGGTCCTTCCCCCTGAGTGGCCTGATGGTGGTGTGGAGAGGCCGGTCCCGTAAATAGAGTATCCCGGCTTTATCTGACAGCAATCAGCAGGAAAGGCACTTCTCCTGCTCTGGTGGGACTAAGCCTGGATGCTCCCCTTCCCAGGATATGGGTCAGGGATCTCAGAGGCAGTGCTGGGGGGCTGCGAGGGCTCACCTTTCCCTGCTGACTTGCCTCACCCCACAGGGGGCTGCCGCTGAGATGGGGATATGTCCTAGGTGCTGCAGGACACAGGGAGGCATGTGAGCTGGGAGTCTGGGCTCTGGCAGCCTGCCGATGGAGGGGAGTCCCTGGCAAGGTGAAAAGCCCCATTTGCAGGTGGCCTGCCTGAACACAAGCTTCACTGCTCAGTTTATCTTTTCAGTTCTCACTTAGCATCTCTAATATCCCAGAGAGGGTATGTAACAGGTAGACACTGTATGGCAGCTACCTGCAAGGTGTCTGAAAACAGATTGGATATGGCTCAGTCCCATCGAGGAGCTGAATTTTGCAGCTGGTATTATTCCCGGTGTCTCCTTGCTGCCTTTGTTTTGGAAGCAAATGGCTCTCTAACTGCATTGAATTGCCTGACTACCTTGCACGGCCGGGATCTAATTACCTGTGGAGCTGGGAGCCCTGTCTCTGAGCGGCACCGAGGCTTTTGCTGTTAATGGCTTGCTCTGCAATGTTCAGTGTGACAATGTTGGGGAGGCTGCCAGGACTGGCTGTTGGTGCCACCGTGCTCACACCGCCATGGCTGGGAAAGTTAATAAGAGATGGGATGTCTTGGACCAAGCATCTGTGGCACAGCGCTGGGTTGAAAACAGAATAAATGGATCTAGTGAAGAGCACAGCTCTCTGCCGTGTCCTGGGGAATAAGCTGGATCGCTAGAAAAGTGACTAGAAAAACACAGCTAGAAAGAGTGAGCTTATCCTGCTCTGCCATGATGCTCCGGCAGAAGCAAAGCGTGGCCAAATCCAGCCATTTAGGCGCAGCCAGCAGCAGGACAGCCCCCAGAAAGAGCGAGGAGTGACTGGGGAACGAACGGGACACAGCCAGCCTCTCATCTCCTTCCCCATGCCACCAGCTATCTCATCCTCCTGTTAATGTTTACAAGGCAGGTCCGGCAGCATCCAAGTGTGTCCAAAGACCAGCTCCCGCCCCGGCTTTCCGGGATCCTGGCCGGGCAGGAGCACAGGAGGGTGGTGGCAGGGAGGAAAACGCGGCTCCTGCTGCGGTGTGACACTCTGGGCCCCGCTGCTGTCCCCGCTCCGGGTGCGCTCCTGGGGCCGCGCCAGGCCAGCTCCGCTTACAGCGACTCCTGCCAGGCCGAGCCGCGGAAAGGTATTTTTAGGGCTGTTGATCTGACACCAGCTGAGTCTGCTCTCCTGTGAGGTTGGGGTTCGGTGAGAGGGCAGAACAGGGAGCCGCAGGGTCAGCTCTTGCTTTGGTTTGTTTTCAGTGTTTAATTGGACCGAGGTTATTCCCTACCACTCTTATCCATGGCAGATATTTTTATGCTCCTCTCCAGTTCATGCTTACAGTTTTACCCCAGGCGATAGTTACCTAAAGCAGCTAAAGTATTTGTTTATTTGTTTATTAACAATGCACTGAGAAGCATCTATATTGTTAGAGTTCAGCTTGCAGGTTGTTGGTTTTTTAAACCACTATTGCTATACTTGGGGAAAAAGCAGCTTTCCATAGATTAAGAGAAAGAGAACCCAAACATGGCAGTTTATACATCTGTTTGCCTTGAGATACAAAGCTGCCCTATAAATAATTGCTTATTATTAGGTTGGTCCTTGCTGTCTATAACCACAGGGTACACGGTGTCCGTATGCCCAGCCACCCTCTGCACCAGGAATGCTCAGTGCCTTGGGAGAGCCAGCTTTGAGGAGCACACACCGAGCAGGGAGATGCCACAGCACTCCTGCATCCCCAAAGGGCAGCAGATCTGCTTCTGGCATAGCAGGCTTGCTCCCTTGTGCCTAATTTGGGTGCAGGAGGGACTGCTGGCTGTTCTTCAGGTCTTGGGGTTGGCACTACTGGCACACTGACACCCCCACAATCCCGAAATAGCTGGGTGAAGAATGTGGGTGACACCAAATGTTTGGTTTCTTGGGCAGCCCCAGGCTTTGCCGCCAGCAGGCCACACATGATGAAAGGAGCCAAATTTGGGGGGGGGATCTGGTGTTTTCTGGGCTCCCAAGGAAGATGACACAAGTGTCTTGATGGCTTGTTGGTAAGGGACTCTTTATTATCCTGGGTGAGGGATTGGTTTAACCCTTAAGTCTCTGGTTTCTGATGGAAAAGATGTACAGATCATTCCCTTTCAAGTGGGAGTGATTCCTGAGAAAGCAAGGAGCAAAGCTGAAAAGGAGAAGTGTGTCTTTTGGGAGACATGGGAACTGCATAGACCTCCTCAGGGAAAAGAGGGTCTGCTCCTGAAGGATATTTGCATTTTCCTGCTGGGAGAAGCAGACCCAATCACGGCAAAGGGGCTGGTTTGGGTGAAGGACACCCTGGAAAAACCCTGGGGAGGAGATAAATCTCACAGGAGGTTTTGTACATGCTGTGTGGGCTGGGAAATCTGCTGGTACCTTCCCTGTCACCAGCTTACCTTGCTCCTGCCTTCCTGCACCACTCCCCTTCCTTCTCCCTCCCTGCAGATGAGTAATGCCACACGTGCTGTGCCCTCTCCCGTGGCACCTGGCACGCTGGGGCCTGGCACATCAGCCGGGCTGGCCTCAGCCCCACCATTCTCAGCTGTTGCCCTGCTTACGGCTCCCCACAACAACTCCCAGGATGACCAGCAGCTTTTCCTGACCACGACAGCAGCGCAGGCCACCTCTGGCATCTTCGTGTGGTCAGCACTCATCCTCACCTTCCACCAGGTATGGGCTGCAGCAGAGATGGGGCTCAACACAGGGGTTAATGTGAGAGCAAAACTATCAATTGTCCCCAAGTCCATTGCGAATCACTCAGCTCCAGGTAAGTATTTCTTCCTGTTGCTGCCCAGAGGTGATATCCCTGCTGTCAGGAGCCTGGTGCTGGCAGCTCATAAGGATGGACTTTGCCACACTCTCCCCAGGTGGTTGCCAGAGCCAGGAGAGGCTGTAGGCACTGCCCAGAGGCAACACGGTGGGGCATTTGGGGTGTCTGGGGTGCACAGCACCAGCTGCCTTGAGGCATATCCCAAGTGGGCATGGTTTAGTGGGCTGTGCAGATCCATGCTGCTGGAGGCAGGCCTGGGGCAGGTGGCTGTCTTCAAGCACAGGGATGGGGCTGCACAGGGTAGGGCACATTCCTCACACAGCCCAGAGAAGGAACCTGATTTCCACATGTTTTCATGCAAGGGATGGGCCCAGGGACTGGAATGGAGCCTGTTGTGTGTTTTCACTGCAGTGGGTCTGTGGTGGAAAGCTGGCAGAACTCTCACCCCAGAGAGGAGGGTTAACACAGCACCCCTGTGGGCTTGGGGGCACCTCTAGTTCCCATCCTGGCCTGTGGCAGCTACAACTCTGCATGCTGGGCACTTTGCAGATCTACACACACCTGAGGAACTACACCATCCCCAAGGAGCAGCGCTACATCATCCGCATCCTCTTCATCGTGCCCGTCTATGCCTTTGACTCCTGGCTCAGCCTCCTCCTCCTCGGCAGCCACCAGTACTACGTCTACTTCGACTCGGTGCGTGACTGCTACGAAGGTGAGCACAGCATCTGCTCAGCGGGGAGGCTGAGGGTAAAGCAGGGCTCTCATCCTGTCTCTGGAGCATCTTGGGTTGTGAAGTGGCAAATCTCCATTGCTTTCACTTCCCACTCTCCCTCCAGGCAAAAGTTTTCTCCTTTCTTCTCTGTTGGCAGCAGGGAGGGGATGTCCCATAGACAAACATGAGCTGCAGCCTTTCAGACACAGGCTTGGAGGGACCCCAGCACCACAGTCCTGGGAAAGAGGTTTTCTGGCTATCTGTGAAGTAGAAATGCAACTTCTCTAAAACATGAGGCAGATGTACCTAAGGAAATGGAGCACTGGGGTGTGTTGAAGTGCAAGGGAAACTTGTCAGGATTAAGGCTGTTTTTCTACCTTGGTCCTCTCTTCCTCAGGAACTAAGTTGTGTGTGTATTTGCATTATTTCAGGTTTGGAGTATATGAAAAATAAGTGGTGGGGATGTCCAAGAAAATTGTTCAGGACCTGCTGCTTTCTGGCCACCAACCATTTGTGCTGCCCCTTAGCAATTTTGAGGTACTTCCATGCAGATTGTCCCTGGATAGACTGTGTGTGCCCAGAGGAGCTTCTGTGTCTGTAATAAACTCTGTGCACATAGTGCAATGTGTCTGACTCCATTTGGAAGTCGGCTAGATTTGACCTGCTGCTCCTCTCAGTGGGGTCCCACCCACCAGCATCCCAAATCTTGATGCAGTGCCAGGTTGGATGAGGAAACACCTGAGCAGGAAGGAATGTGAGATTAAATACCCCCTCCAGGACTCCCATCAGTCCTGCTGATCATGTCTGCCCTTGCCTTGGCAGCTTTTGTGATTTACAGCTTCCTGAGCCTGTGCTTCGAGTACCTTGGAGGGGAGAGCACCATCATGACAGAGATCCGAGGGAAGTCCATTGCGTAAGTCCCAGCATCCTGTGAGCTCCTTCTCCACCCACTTTCCCCACCCAGCACCCCCCAATGGCATCTCCTTGCCTTCTGCTTCCAGGTCCAGCTGCTTTTACGGGACCTGCTGCCTTCAGGGTATGTCCTACTCCATCGGGTTCCTGCGCTTCTGCAAGCAGGTGGGTACCCCTTGGGGAGCATCGACTCCACTTCCCTCAGATGAGACTCTCTGGGTGGCAAGTTCCTTCCCCACTGCCCTGCCAAGGGGGCTTAGCTTCATTATTCATTTAAGATGCTGGATTTGGAGGCTCTTTTCCTCTGAGGGAGGCAGGTCACCAGCTTGCTGGCACCTGGCCAGCAGCAAGGCTGCTCGCTGTCCTTGCCTCTGACTCACTGCTGAGTCAGGGCCTCCTCCCACTGCAGAGCTCCGATTGCCATCTCTGTCCAGTCCCAGGTTAGCCTGGATGCTGTCTCACTCTCCGGGACTGCACTGTGGGCTGAATCTTGTCACCTGTCTGTCCCCCACCTTGCACTGGCTACGCTGCCTTTCAGGAGCTGTCTCTGGAAGCCCCACTCCCTCCCATCTGCAGACCCTTGTGCTGGTTCATATTTCACTCCAGAGCACTGCTCTCTCCTGTGTGTGTGTCCCTGGAGCAGAGGGGTGGCATGTCCTGCTGCCCGTGGTACAAACACCGTGTCTCTCCCCTGTGCAGGCCACGCTGCAGTTCTGCATTGTGAAACCCCTCATGGCAATCGTCACCATCATCCTGCAGGCATTCGGGAAGTACCACGATGGAGACTTCAAGTGAGGCTGCTGGGTGGGGCTGGGGGGGTGAATGGGAGAGGATGGATCCCTGCTCCATCACCAGTGTGTCCTGCCAGTCTCCCCAGGAAGCTGCTCCGTGGATAGTGAGAGCACTGTGAGCCCAAAGTGCCAGGGAACAGAGACTCACTGCCCCCAAACAGTAAAAGGACAAAAGTCCTGTGAGCCATAATAAATAAAATAATAAATAAAAAGAAGTCCCATTGGCAGAGGAGAAGCTGCTACCTCTGCCCTCCTGCCCCTTCTGGGCTGTGTTCTCCCCGTCAGCAAAGCTATGCAGCCTCTCCTTCCCCATTTGATCTCTCTTTGCCCCCAGTTGCACTTGCTTTGCTCCCCACAGCCCAGGGCAGCAGCCCTCTCTCTCTCTCTCTCTCTGCCTGCAGTGTCCACAGTGGATACCTCTACATCACCATCATCTACAACTTCTCTGTCAGCCTGGCTCTTTACGCCCTTTTCCTCTTCTACTTCGCCACCATGGACTTGCTGCGCCCGTTTGAGCCGGTCCTCAAGTTCATCACCATCAAGGCCGTCATCTTCCTCTCCTTCTGGCAAGGTGGGTCCCACCACGGACACCCAGCGCTTCTCCTCCCATAGCCCCACCTGGATCAGGGGTGCAGGAGCAGAACTGATCCCTCTCCCTTCCCCCGCACAGGGACACTGCTGGCAATCCTGGAGAAATGTGGGGTGATCCCTGAAGTTCAGATCATCGATGGGAAGGAGGTGGGGGCTGGGACAGTGGCTGCTGGCTACCAGAACTTCATCATCTGCATTGAAATGTTCTTCGCTTCCATTGCCCTGCGCTACGCATTCACCTGCCACGTGTACAGGGAGAAGAAAGAAAACTCAACAGGTAACTCTTCCTCACTTTTTCCTTTCTTCAATTACTAAGTAAAGAGGAAATTTCCCTTATTTTATTAGTATCCCATTACCAATGGCATGCTAAAAGCTACAAGAGGAATTTCTTTATCCTGTGCTCCTTGCATTTCTTCTCCCTCTTCCCTCATGACACCCACAAGCTAAAACAAGGGGGCAGGTAAGGAGACCTTGGTGTGGCTGGGCGGGATTAGGGGGTGGTGGTATTACCCACATGCTCTTGGAGAGGATCTACCCTTTGTAACATGGAGCTGGGATTGTCTTCCTTCTCCTTGGAACTTGGGACCACAAGCTGATGTGGCCCAGAATGAGCCCTTGATCTTCTTGGATTTCTAAGGAGAAATGTGTTGGATCACTTGGGCCCATTGATTGCTGTCCCATCACCCCCCTGCTCTCCCTGTTTTGCAGCAAACCTCGCCCCGATGCAGAGCATCTCGAGTGGGCTGAAGGAGACCATCAGCCCCCAGGACATTGTGCAGGATGCCATCCACAACTTCTCGCCCGCGTACCAGCAGTACACCCAGCAGTCCATGCAGGAGGCAGAGCGCAAAGCGCCGGGGGAGAACGGGCACGTGGCCACCAAGATAGACGGACAGAGCAGCAGGAAGAGCAAAAACATTGAAAAGAGAATGCTAATCCTGTCAGATGAGGAGCTGTAGGAGGTATCAGAAGAGACACTGACACTGAAGAGGTTTTAACCCATGCAGAGGGGAGGTGCCTTGAGGCTGAGACAGCCTGGGCTAATCAGAATACTGAGAAACCAGGAACTCTATCCAAAAAGCCAGTCTCTCAAAGGGAAGATGCAATAACCCAGAAAAGGTCAAGTCAAATAGTGCCAGCTTCTGCTATCATGGATGGAGCTGTGTTGAACCCTGTGTTGCAGCCTGGGCTTTGCTGCCCCACTGCTGCTGTCTCTCTGCCAGCCCTGTGCCAGGGCTGGGGGATGCCAGGCAGGGAGGGGAGCCAGGGTGCAGGACAGACCAGTGGCCTCGCCCTACTCTTACCTCCAAGCAATGCTGAGGCCTGAGAGAAATGCTTTTCTCAGCACAGTTCTGCTCTAATTTCTCCCAATTTGAGTAAAAAAATTATCTCCAAGGGCCTGTGGAGAAAACCAACCCAGGAAGGTGACTTCGCTTCACCTCAAAACCTGGTAAAGGTTGAAAGACGTCATTCCTTATTTTTACATCTTTTCCTCTTTCCTTCTCACAGCAAAGCTTATAGAGATGTGCAAAAGACCTTTACCATGGAGAAAGAGTAAGGCACCCTCTTCTCCCTCCAGATGTGGATGCAGCTGTCCAAGTAATCCCCCGGCAGTGTGGCAGCACCTCACTGGGACTAACCAGAGGTCTGCAGCTGCATTTCTGAGAGCTGCCAGTGACAGAAGTGCTTGTTTATGTCTAAACCAGCTTATCTCTGAACTGATCAGAAGTTGAAAGGGATTCCAGCTTCCTTTTCAGAATCTTTATTAGGGAACCAGACTGTGAGTGGTGGTGGTAGGAATTCACTTATTGGGAACTGTCTGTTCCTCCTAACCCTTCACTATTCCCCATCCCTGTTTGCCTGACCTGTGGGAAGGCAATCAGGAGCTGAGCCCAGCTGGGTGATCATGGTGAGGATAGAGAGGTGCTGAGGGATGTTGCCACGTGGGGCAAGACCACAGGCAAGGAAAGACTGCGTGGAGGGATGCTCTTTGTATCAATGATGGTGAGCTCACATCCTCCTCTTAAGACTTCCCCTTTTTTCCCCAATTTTTAGTCTAATTTCTATTCTCCTGTTAATGAGATGATCCTTAGGAATGAACTTAGGCACTGGTTGGGCTGTTGTCTGGCATGGCAGCTGGCTACTGGAAGGATGAAGGCAAATCTATAGCCTCAGATTTGCAGTCATGTGGCAAACAAACCAATGGATAAGGCTTGGAGCCCTTTTAAACACAACTCATAGAATTTGCATCTTTTTTTTGCCCTGCTCTTAAGCTGCAAAATGTGAATCACAACAGAAAATTATTTATTTTTTTTCTAATAAACAGCAATTTCTAGCACAGAGCAAGCAAGCATTTTCACTGAGCTCAGCAAGCAAAGCCCACGATCTGCCTGTTCCTGCTATAATGCTGATGCTCTTAAGCTTAACGTCCTCCCTGCCCCTCAATGCTGGCCCAGCAGAAATACCTGCACACGCAGCATCCTGCACATTTTGGCATTCCTACAGGATTTGTGCTCATCTTTTTCACTCCACAAAGAACGTGCGTGTCTCCAACTTCCTCTCCTTGCACAGCCCCTCTTCCAACCCTCGCCTAAGCTGTGGATACAGTGGTTCAGAGGAGCTGGATCTGGTTTAGCTAAGCTAAGCCCACACTCCAGCACAAACAAGACAAGCTCTATTTACTATTATTATTATTATTGGAGAAATCCTACCATGCTATAGCCCAGACTCCACATGAGCAACCTATAGTTCAGCCAGTCCTGCAAGTCCCTCTAGTCCAAAGGAGCGCTGCTCATACCTGCTCAGCCGGTGAGACTGCTGCCACTTTTCCTGCAAGGAGGTCCATAAACAAGAGCCAGAGGCTGTGCACAATCCAGGCATTCATCCAGGATCCTGCACATCCTGGGAGTAAGACTGTCCTGCATAGAAAGTGCAGCCTCAGTACTCAGGGACAAGGTTGCTTGGCTTTGTAATGCAGCCGGCACAGAAGCAGGGACATCCCAGCTGAACATCTTGGTCTTCACCCCTCTGGGAGAGGATGGCCACAGCTGCAGGAACAGAGGCTGCTCTGGCTCCTGGGGTGAGGACAGACTGCAAAGGTGATGATGGCACATCTGCCGGCGCGCTCGCAGCCGCTGAGATAAAGACTTGCACAAAGAACACAGCAAGAAGCGTGGTTGTACTTCATTGCACAAATGATCGACTCCAGTGCATAATGGGCTGCTTCCATTGCTCTGCCAGCAGGTGCAATTCCCACTGCAGACAATAACATTTGCCTATTTATGTCAAGCCCTGATTACTGTATTATATGTAAAACAGATCTTTCTTGCAAGCCAAACAAGGGGGAGAAGAAAAAAAAAAAAAGAAAAGAAAAGAAGTCAGCTGTGACTCATGCAAGTCAGCAGTGTGATACCAGCCTGAAGGAGCCGTGCTGGGCTGGACACCAGCTGGCTGCCGCGACAGCAGCAGCAGGCACCCTCCCTGCTCCAGCCAGCGCGAGCTGGGCCTCCTGCTCATCCTTTTTCTTGGAGAGGGGCAAGAGCTGATGGCTCAGGCTGGGTGCTGTCACGGCCCTCAGACCCTTAGTCTGTCAAAAGGCATCCACGGGGAATAGAAATGCCAACGGTGATGTAGGCTGGACGCGGTCTCCTCTGCCTCCTCAGCAAGGACACGGGGAAAGCTGGCGGCGAGCACACGGGTGACCTACACAGGAGCCTGCTGTGCCTGGAGCCACGCCAGCAAGCTGCCAGGGAGGAACAGGCATCTCTCACTGCCAGCAGCAGGCTCCAGTGGTCGGCAGATTTGTTTTCCCGTTGTCGCCTGTCCTCGGGCTTTCCCCAAGGACAAGGCTGAGTTACAGCTATCGGATCTCCTGGTGCTTTTTGGGCTTGGATCAGGCAGGTTTACACCCCACTTATGTCAGGGATGATCATCACAGGCATACTCTGCCACTACACCTGCAGGAGCCCAGGCTGACCTCCCTAAAAGCAGAGGGGAAGGAAGGCAGCCGCTGGCACCACAGCAGAGGCAGCTCTCACGCATGGCTGCTCGCTGCACAGCACCCAGTCAGAGACAGACTCTTCTTTTTTTGGGTGCCAGCACTCACCAACAAGTCCCTGGGCCCAGCTGCTGACAGGCAGCAGACTGCCAGACCTGTGCCAGAGAGCAGGATTTGTGCTTTTATCACCTTCTTCACAGAGACCTTCTATGCTCCTCTCCTATGCATGGTGAAGGTTTTCTTTCACTTCTGAATCTTCACCTGGCCTTTTCTTCCTGAACTAATGCTCCTCTATCCCTCCAACAGTCACAACTGGCCCACCTCCCTGTCCCCTCTGTTGTCACAACTCCTCACTGCAGTGACTCCAGGCAGGAGCCAAAGCAGCTGATGATGCTTTTTTTGCTCAGCACAGACTGCCATCACCCTCAGGCTTCACCCACGTGCCTGCTCAGCCAAGCCTGCCCGGCCCCACCTAATGACCATCCATTACCTGCTGACACACAAAGCCTTTCAGCCTGCTCCTCTTCACTTTGCCCTGCCTCTTAATTTTCCAGCTTTGGCCAACACACCCATCTGTCTCCAACCTACTGCCTCAACACAGCCCAAGTGTTTTACCCCCTTCAGCTGTTCCCTCAAGAAACTCTACCACTTGAAATAGGGAATTAAAGCCAACACAACCCCTAAAAGCTCACTGGCACACGGCACCACCTTTTTAAAAGCCTCAACAGGGAAAAGCAAAAAGATGAAGTATTGATGTAAGGGGTTAAATCAGTTTATTCACAAACAGCCACACAGGGAAAGCATGAAGGGACATTTCACAACCCAAAGGAAGAGAGAGGAGTGTCTCTCTCCAGCACTTCAAGACAGCTCATGGTGTCTCCCAGCCACAAGTGGCTTTGCTCAGCATCACGACTGCAGCAGGTGCGTGGTGAGCTGTCAGTCCTGCTTGTGCTAACACAGACACCCCTGACCGTGCACAAAGACAGAGCCCCTGGGTCAGGAACACACACGCGGTCCGAGCACGGCATCGACCTGACAAACAGCTCGGACAGCAGCTATCCCTGGAGCACATTCAAGTGTCCCAAGAACACCACAGCAAGGCTGAGATGGGCTCCAGGAGGTTGGGTCAGATAATTGCAAAAGCCCAAACTGCCATCCCACTCGCCTGCCTCCAAAAAACACATCGCTCACCGCAGCGCCACGGCCAGCCGGGTGCTGCACTGGGGAGAGGCAGCAAAAAAACCCGAGGAAAACACTCCACTGAAGATCAATTCAGGCTCCAAAATGCTGACCATAGACCAGGGCAAGTCTGAAACCAGAAAATGCTTTATTGGAAAGGTACAAAAAAACCAGTCACTGCAGCTAAATTTACAGCAATAAATTACGTTGTGGCTGTCAAGAGAAGTAATGGACACATACACAGGGCTATTCGCCTTACAAACAGGAATCCACATTGCTTGGTATATCAATAATTTATTTTATAATAAAAAAGCAGCACAAAAATAAATATTGAAATGAAATTACTGAGTAACCACAGAGGATAGAATGAGCTGGTGATAAAAAACAACTTAAAACAGAAGACTTCTATCATTAAAAAAATGAAAGCAAGTATCCACCATCTACAGAAACACCCCAGCAGACTGAAATACAGACGAAGGAAAACAAATCCACATTACAAAAGTTTTTCGGTTTTGTTTTGTTTCTTTTTTTTTTTCCTTTTTTTTTCTTTTTTTCCTTTTTTTTTTTTTTAAATAAAAACAATCATGACAATGAAGTTTAAATGATTCGAGAGAGAAAAAACTGCCACCTTCTCCTCCTCCCCAGGTCTGAGCCATCCCGTGGCACAGCTCGCCTCCGCCCCGGCCCAGTGCCAGCGCCTCGTCCCTCCCGCCGTCCCAGAGCTGCTGTGGCACCCAGGTCTCTGCGCTTTGCGGTCTCCTCCTGGCAGATGGTAGAGCTGGGCAGGAGCAGAGACGCTGCCTTGTTTCAAAGGGATCTGGAGCTGCCCTTGGAGGGAAAGGTTCCCCACTCCCAACAGAGAGCACAGCACACACGTCTACGAGAACAGAGGTGTCCCTTCCGCTCCCTGCGCGACGCCTTCGCCTCCTCCTGCCTCCCACCCAGCCCTCGCGCTGCGGATGGGGAGCAACCAAAGAAAGGCCAGGGCCAGGGAGAGGATCCCAGCACCCAAAAATCAGAGCCCCCGCTCCTCCTCAGCGGGGTCGGGGGGACAAACTAAGAGGGGCAGGGAAGGGAGCCTCGGCATCCGAAGTACCGCGGCAGAGAGCCGCCGTGGTGGGGACGCGCCCCGTGCCGCCAGCTCCCCGCGCCGCCAGCTCCCCGTGCCGCGCTCGCCCTGGGTGTCGGGCTAGCAAGTGCAGGACGGACGGAGAGGAAAAAAACAAACAAAACAAAACAAAAACAAAAAATAAAACACAACAGAAACAAACCGAACCCCAGAGGAATGCAACGCGACAACCCCAAGCTGGAGGGCCCTCCAGGGAGGAGGGTGGAGGAGCTGGGTCACCAACGGGATCAACAGCTTTCGGGTCATTCCTCCCTCCACATTACCTTGCAATTCTGATCCCTCTGTGGAAGTTTAGCCAGGACATTTCATTCTCCTCCAGGTCACCACCCAGGGAGCCCTGGACTGGCAATTTCTTTTAATAAAGATTTACAGTATCAAACTTGGAAAAAAAATTATTTTTTTCTTTTTTACGAAAAATCTGTACGATAAAATGTATATAATTATATATTTATATATATATTTCTCTCTCTTTAAATATTTCCACGTGGTCCTTATGGATATCCAATATGGATTACCTACCATGGCTATGGTATCAACAGCTTTAACAACACCCAGGCCTCTTGTTCTTTATCGAGTGACCAGAGATTTAAGTGCCTACCAGCACTAAACTAGCAATCACTTGGACAAGCCTTTGGCACCCTTCCAAGAACTGGAAAAAAAATAAATACTTGGCCACAAGGGAAGTGCCACATAAAGATATGTTTCTCAACTCATTCCAACAGCAAGAAGACCCCAGGAACAAAGTTCAACCTCTGTCCCCTTCAGTGAGACAGGTCTGATTTCCCCGGAGGGGTGTCAAGGGCAGCCAGAGGGTGTTCCTATCTAGCCAGGAATGTTATGGAGCTCTGGAGCTGTTTTAAAGACTGGAAGCATTTGGGCATTTTCAAGTCAACTGGCCTTTTTCATTAAAGTTTTCATTTAAAGCCCCAACAGTGCCAGGAGTCTCCATTTTGCCTGGTTTTGGAGGCACCTGTAAGGTCTGGGAAAGTGTCCAATGTCTGTGAGCTGGAGAACATGAGAGGACCAGGAAATGACCGTAACATCTTTCTCTTCCTCAGCTTCTGCTGTGGGAGTCAATAACTGGTACTGATACACAGGACATCGATCTGCCTGTTTGGAGATAGGGAGGGAATGGAGGAGAAATGAGGTAACACTAAGTGCCATCCAAACTCTACATGTTGGAAAATCACTTGAAGGAAACTCCCTGCTCCCCTCCAAAACGTGTGGATCTGGCAGGGGGAACGAGCCTTCAGGAAGCGTTTCACTGACACCCTTTCTGGCTCAGTAAAGTCACGGATGTCGATGTTGGGGACTGAATGAGAACCAAGTCTGAGGTTTCTCTTTTCATTAACCTATTTCACAAAGGATCCTCCTGGGAAATCCAGAGACTCCGATGACAAGGTGAAAAGAAAAAGAAAAAGCAAGCTAACAACTTCTTCCAAAGACAAGTAGGGCTTCACTAAATTTCTACCAACTTACTGCCATTCAAGGCAAGACAAAGCCTCAAACAACAAATTATATACTGGGTGTCAGATGCCAGTTCACTGTCCTCTTTCCAACAGCGGTAGCACTTGATTATTCTCTTTCAGTCCAAACCACTTATGAATTCTCCGTGATCTTTGTTCCAGAGCCCAAATTCTCTAAACTCTTCTCCTCATCTTAAAACCTCAGCAATCTCATTCTCTTCTCACCTGCATGACAACAGGCATCGTCCATTCCATAAGTCTCTGATCTGCCCTACAAAACACACAGTCCCTTTCCTTTCCTACTTCAAGAAGAAAAAAAAAAACAACAAAACACACAAACACCAACATAGCTATTTGTTTTTTTTTTTTACAGTGACCTGGAAACATTCATTGTTTCATCACTGCTGTGCGACAGCAGAACCTCTCCTTTCAGCTTCCCAAATCCTGCCCACTGCCAAGCCAGAAATCCCTCTCCCAAACCACTGCTCAGAGCCAAACAAACGACTTCTCGATCCCAATTTCTGTCCCCTGCACGCACATTGATTTTCCATCCTGCCCTCATTATAATTCACCCACTTGCAAGAGAAAGCATCAAGTTTCAGGGTCCCATTCACACAGGTTGTCTGAACACTGAGGGTTGTTCACTGTACTCTTTGGATCCCAAATTCAGCATCTGATGTGCTATGGAGAGGGAAAGACTCTTCCAAGCTCCCATCTGACCTCCCCACAGCCCTTCTCTGATCACCAAGGACTGGTGAGCACAGATCTCCAGCTAAGGATGCTCATTGCTAACATACCAATGCTTTTGTCAAAGAGGAGACTCTAAACTTCTCTCCTCCTGGCTGAATGCTATTGCCCTCTAGTTACACTTCAGTGCTTCAAAAACATCCTTCCAAAATCCTCTGCACAAACCCCTTCTCGTAGTGCTGATCCCAGCAGAACTGTCCCACCTTCTCTCACAGCCAATTCTGCCTCCACCAGTAATACATGCAGCATTTTTCCTCCTCATCTCCCCTTGTCCTCCTCACCACACTGCTTTTCACAGCATTTACTGTGCCTCCCTCCCTTCAGCTTCAGGTAACCTAGGAAAAAAAAAAGCTGCTACTTCAAGACTGCGGATCATTTGGAAGAAATAAACTGCATAAATATACCCAATTCACAGGCACACCTTTGGGAAGGAGCTATCAGGAAACTTGGGCTTGGAATAAAGGAGGCTGCAATGTAGTTTTTTTACAGGCCACACAGGTAATGGGGCATATTAAAATATGTAAAATATATATTTTTCCATATTTTAACAGCATGGATTGAAAACAAAAGGTTATTCTTAATGGGTGTGGTCAGACCCAAGCATTTATCTCCATCATCCTCCCACTCCCATCCACTGTTAGCAGGATGAAATCAAACCCAAAAAGCCTATATTCCTGCCCTCATAATATCAGGTGGAAGTGGGGAAGGTAGGGGAGACCCTTCTTACAAGGAGTAGGAGGCCACTAAAGGAAACTCTTTTTCCCATACATTCATCTCACATGATGATTTCTACGGTCCATATGTTTCCTGGCTCTTGAGCATCATTCACGAAGACTCCGGAGGCTCCTCAGGTATCTTCTCCCAGCTGGAAAGCTGCCCACAGCTGAGAGGGGTTTGTGGAGGCAGAGGGAAGGAGGAAGCAGATCTTGCAATTTGTACTGCATATAGAGCTCAAATCCTGGACACGAGAGGTTGATGGAGCCACTGAGTCCAGACAGAAGCAGCCAGTTAAGTTCCCTTTGTAGGAACCCTTTGGGTTTGTTTGTTTTTCTCTTTTCTTTTTTTATATTCTTCTGTTTTTTGCACTTTTGGAAGAGACTTCTTAGAATGCCAATTCTTGACGTGACCAAGGACTCCGGAACAATGCATAAGAGCCTTATCCCCTCCCCTCTGAAAGGCTGCTAGTTCCCCCCACCGAGGGCACTAGGAGGCTGCTGAAAACGGCACAGAACTGGATGAGATTTCGGCTGATTTCACGATGGTGATGACACTGGTGGTGGCAACTTTGGTCGGGGTAATAGGCCCTCGCGCCACAGTACGAGCAAAGGTCTGGAGTGCTTCGTACTTGGAGCGCAAGGCATCCAGCTCTAGCTTCATGCTGCTGTTTTCTCTGGCCAGCTTCTCCACCTCTTGCTGCAGCTCAACCCGCTGCCTCTCGAGCTCCTCTTTCTGAGTCACACGCTTGATGCGGCAGCTGGCAGCGTAGCCCCGGTTCTTCAGCGTGCGCCTCCGCTGCTTCAGACGGATGACCTCCTCTTTGGTGAGACCCCTCAGGTGCTGGTTCAGCTCCCGTACGGACATTGACACGAGTTCATCATCACTCAGCACTGGGGCATTCTCTCCTGACTCCTCCTTTACCTGCAAATACCAACAGCACAGGGGTAGCAGCGACCCGATGGGAGCGGATGCTCTGGGCAGCAGAAGGAGAAAAGGCTGCCCCTCAGCAACGTGACATCCCTACCTGGAAAACGCCCCTGATGTGGCGTGGACAGCACAAACTCCACTAAAACATCTGGGTTAAACATGGCAGAGATCTGAGCACTGCAGTTGTCTGGGTTAGATAGACAACTTAGGTCACAGAAAGCAGTGATTTTACATACCCAACAGCAAGATTTTCAAGGGGATAAATGTAAAGTCAGCTGAAGCCTTTTTTTGTGAAGTCCTTGTCAGGACCTGGAATTCATAACGAATGCTGAAGATGACACCTTATCCCAGCATTATGCTGGGACACCAGTGCAGCATCTCAAAAGCAGAGTAGCTGCTTCTGTGCGGGGCTTAATTCAGCGCTTTTTGGGTTTTTGTTGAAGATTGCTCATTTGAGTCATGAACAAAACCAGCCATGCTTGGCTTCAAGGACAGCCTGATTTCTTTTTGCCGGGGCACAACATGTAGTAACTGAAGTTACATGAAAAAAGCACCAAGGCCTTGCCCTTTCCTCAAACACATCTGCCACCACCATTATTTTCACAATCACAAAATTGTTCAGGATGAAAAACACAACCAATACCAGTGAACGCAGAACTTTTAAGACACCATCCTTTTGTCTTTTCAGAGACTGCAGGACATATGGAATGAAGAGCCAAAACACTAGAAAGAAATTTCAACCATGCATGAACAGCCCAGGCATAGACCACCATCAAGCTGGTACGTCTGAGGCATTTACTGTCTCATGGATCTGGGTGACACCAGCTGAACAAGTCCCTTCCCCAGTGCCTCCCAGTCCTGAAAGTAAAAGTACTTCATAGCCAAGACTGGGAGCACTGGTTTCAGGATGCTGCCAATACCTCCTGTAGTCAGAAGTCTCTTGGATAGCTGCTGGCATATGCCAGCCTCCATGCCACCCCAGAGACTTCAGGCCTCTTTCTGGGTAATGCCAATATTCTTTTAGCCTAACCTTTCCTGTAGGCAGTGGGAAATTGTACCAGCACCCATTTCTAAGAGTCTCTCGGAATGAAAAAGAACAGTCACGTACAACCAGCACAGCACAGTTCTGTGACAGCCTCCCCAGCCACCCAGCGCCACCCACTCAGCTTCTTCCCTACCTTTAATGCCTTGTTCGGTTTGGGATTAGTCGTCATAACCTGAGCACAGTCTTCCGGACAAAACTGCTCAGAAATTGCAACTGGAAAAACAAAACAAGGTTTCCAGGTTAATCACAGAGGCAAGGGCAGGAAGAAAATACCCAGCACATGGCCCAAACCCCCAAATCAACCACCATTAAAAGAAATAAACACACAGTTGTTTGAAGCACTAGGATGGATTCAGATATCATTTACCCTATTCAGATAAAAGAAAGAGAAATTTGTATTGCTTTTTAACACCAAGACCTTGTATTTTGCAGTTAACCACACCAAGATGCAGCAGAGAAGACAGGGCAGAGAGGAAAGAAGGACACCCACATTCATCTGTAAACAAGAATCACTCTAAGCATCACGCAGCACCTTGCCATGTGCCACCCATTCCCAAGGGGAGAATGGAGCGTGGCCTCCAAGGCCCTGTCACTGGATCACCTCCCTCTGGAGGCATCCCAGACGCTCCAAATAGCCTATTAGGGACTGAATTAAGAGTTACCTCTGCTCATAAAAGGCACTGAAAAGCCACAAGACAACAACTCCCTTCATTCTCATTTTGATGATTATTAGCTGGGCTCGAAATTGAGCCAGCAACCCAGAGAGAAGCTGCCTGGTTTGTAACCTGCTTCCAGCGCTGTCCCCACCCAAAGGAGACGCCACCAGAAAACCCAAACAGCAAAAACAAAAGCCCCCCAATAACAAAGCCAGGAAGGAGTTCACCTCTCCCAACACACCAAGACTGTTGCTTCCCAATCCTCCAGCCCCAGACTGCGAGAACAGACCTGCTTGATGTTTCTAGTGACGTGGAGACATGTCCATCGACAGCCAGCCCGTCCCCTGCCGTGACACTGCCCTTCACTCTCACCTTAGCCAGCGACTACACCCCTGCGACCAGCGCCCTGCAGAAAATCCACCTGCCCACACCTCCACCCAGCCCCTTCACCCCGTGGTCTGATGGTACCTACCCCGGGAGAGGCACCGGCAGCCGTGCCACCATCACAGCCTGTGCTAAGGCTCCCCAGAGGGGAGGGTGAGGCTCCGGTGCCCCCGACACAAGGCGGCTCTGAGGGCTGCGCACCCGCGGCACCGCAGAGCAGAGCGCTGCCTGTCTGGCGGGAGTCCTCTCTCTCCCCCCACTTTCTCCAGCCCAGCCCAAACCCTCCCCATTTCCACGTCTGCATCGTGTCACACATCCTAATCATTCATGAAAAATCCAGCCAAAGCATCCCAAGCATGATTCCCTTCTGATAGTTGCCATGGTGACCTTGGGAAAGTAGCCAACCCGGAGACAGTCACCATGGAAACAGAGAAGCCCAAAAGCAATAATGACTTCAGGTCATGTCTGTGCAAAGACATCACGAGGTCGTCGGAGAGTAAACAAACTCATTCATATCTGCAAACAGGGGTGGCGGGATTTGGGGGGCTGCAAAGGTGGGGCGTGGGGACCAGTGGGAGCCGGGTGGGTGAAGGTGCTGGCTCAGCCCGTGCTGCTGTCACTTGAATTTTATCAGTCAAGGCACCTCATCATCACACGACTTACATAAAAATCAAGATGAAGAGCAGGAGGGGGAAAAAAATAATCCTGTAATTGCAGAGCTGCAAGATACTATCCTAGATATTAGGAAGTGTATTTAGGCACCTCCTCTATTTTTAAGCCTGAGACAGCACAGCTCTCCATGTCTGGAGGAGGGACAAGGACAGCCGCACAGCACACAAGCCAAGATGCTCCGTGATGAATGGACCACTTACAGCAACTGGTGTGCGCTGCATTTTCTAGAGCATCACCGAGTCCTTCCCTGCTCTCCTCCAGCACCGAGCCCCACCCTGGGCACACCTCAGCCACAGCCCCTTGTCCGGTCAGGACAGCAGGAGTGGGCAGGGCTGGGGCAGGGGGGCCAGTCCCAGCCCCTCTCAGCTGCCAGGCGGGGATGTGCCCAGCCTCGCCGATCTCCTGCGAGCACAGGCACCTCTCCAGACCCCAGCACTTCCCCTCCACACCAGGCGCTTGCTGCCCACCCCTACCTCCCGGCCGGAGCCGCTGGCAGCCGGGGTGGGGCAGGGACGAGCTGCTCGTGTCGGCCAGGAGGTCTCGGAGCGGCGGAGCGCAGAGGAAAGGGCCGGCAGCCCCCTCCCTGCAGAGGCAAAGGCGCAGCCGGGCCGCAGGCAGTTGGTGCCATAGTTATGCAGTGAGTCACCAGCTGTTTACAGAGTTGGAGCGCTCACATTCCCACAGCATCAGAAACTCTTCCTTCCCTCGGCGGCATCCCCCCGCCCTCGCCGCCCCCATCCCTACAAGGGAAGGGGCGCGCTGGCCGCGGGCCGCGCCGCGAACGCCGGAAAAGGAAAGGCAGAAAGGAGGGGGAGGCCGACGACAGCCCCGTCACACCCACCCAGGGCACAAAAAAGCCTTTTGATCCTCACCCAGCGCCTCTTCAAAGCGGTCTGTGCGCCAGCCGATGGAAAAACTGAACGCGGCCACTTGGCCGCGCGGAGATGGAAAGAAATGTAAAGTATCACGGAAAACAAGAGCCGAGGGGTGAGGTTGCCTCCAGTGCGGGTCAGCGTGAGGGCTCACCTGCCACCCTGAGCAATGCTCCAGCTCTGAGTGATGAAACCCTGCTGGTCACCTGTTGCTCCATGTCACCAAAGCAACAGCTCCTTACCCTGCACATTCCTCAGAGGACAGCACAGGCGCTCGGCTCAGCGTCTTCTGCTGCACACCTATCTCCCCCCACACCAAAACACCCCGCATGGGCCAGCATCCCTCAGACAGGCTGGGATCCATCCCACCGCACCAGGGGTGCATGGCCAGAGCTGCTGCTGACACAGGTTAACGAGGAGGTTCAAGGCACCATCAGGAATTGCAATGCCAGACCCTCTTAAAACAAGGGCGGGAGACGGTGGGCTGGCCTGACCCAAAGGGCAAGATTTCATAGAGCCTGTAGAAACACTCAAACAGGCTCAAGCCTCACACTCGGATACGAGTGCAAGGGTGAGTCTTATCTCTGCACTAGGTGAAGGCACAGGTGTGGTCCTGGCTCCGCTTGAAACCGATACAACAACACTCGCAATCCTCACCAGCAGTCCTCCAGGGCCTTGGGCCTCATCTCATCTACCAAATCCTTCCCATCAGGATTATTTGGGACTATTCAGCTACCAGCAAGAAGACACTAAAAATCAGCATGTCATCTCCCTTACATTTGTTACTTACAAAGCAAAACCCCGCAATGAAATCATAAACCACTCTGCAAACAAGTCATACCCAGCAGCGTTCCCTAAACATGCTGCACAGGGGTCTTCTGGGATCCAGCCTGCGATTTGATTATTAGAACCCTTTTAGTCTTTACCCTACTCCTGCCCTTCTTTCCTTAATTGCATTTGCTGCATCACATCTAAAATTAGGAGCTCAGCTTTTTGGAACAAGGACCGCGCTACATCCCTGCTCTGTAAGCAGTACGACACATTTTGAATGCCACATCAATAAAGCAGCAAGTAGTATTACACCAACTGTGAGGGGAAAAAGCTTTTCCAGAGCAGCTCCACGCTCGTATTTACAGCAAGTGTTTTGACTGTGGGTTACATAAAGAGCCCTTGTAATTCTGCAATAAAGTTACCCATTGACAGCCTTGCCAACGCCCTCTCCCTCTCTCAGACAGCTCCTATGCCTCCTGCAGCATCCTCCCAAAAACCTGGAAGTCTCCAGCTGACATCCTAAGTCTGACAGTCTCAGAGCGTCTAGAGATCCCAGTTCCTTCGCTCTGAAAGGGAAAGCAGCAGAAAGCCTGACTCAGGCAGAGGTAGGACACAGCTTTCCACACAAGGCTTGCAATTAAGAAAGAAAACATGCCAGAGTGAGATTTCAGACTTTCCACGCTACAGGGCTTTCCAAGTGCGTTACACATTGAGGAATTACTATAAAATCACTGCTGACACCCGATAACTGCAGATGAACTTGAATTTTAAAATTCTTTCTACGCTGAAAGACAACCCCGGCCACAACCAGAGTGCCTGGCAGACAGCCCTGCTGGTGTTTAGCTTCCATCCTCACACACATACAGCAAACTGAAAACATGCAACCCTCACCTTCCTCCAGGCCAGCGACGACTTCCCGAGGGCAGAAAAACAGCGCAAGGTTCAAGCGGCGACGGGGATCTCTGCCATCACGTCTCAATTCGGCACTGACAGCTACGCAGGGAATACTCTACTCCTTCCCAAATGCAACCATTTAAATCCTAGGCAGCTGTTTAAATTTCTCGTTTATCCTCAAGTTTTTCCCAGCTCCAGAGCGCTAGCCAAACGGATGTGCCTACCACGGGTAACATCTGAGCTGACAGGTGAAGGCAACTACAGATGCTTAAATCCTCATCGCCGTGCCTCTGCCACTCGGAGGCACGACACGGATTTCCAGCACATTGCAGCATGGTAGGCAGAGCACCATCCCTCTCCCCATCACTCAAAAAGCCATTCTCCTGCTCTGACAACCTTCACACATCCTGTAAGGCAGACTGACGCTTGTCACTCATTTGTAATGAGAGCGGGGAGGGACGGGCTGGTGGTGTGAATCAGAGAGTAGAGAAGCATATGCGAGGCAGTATATTTGACATGAAGAGAGAGAAGACACAAGTAGGGGGTGAGTCACTGTTTACTGTTCTAGAGGAGCTCCACGCAGCCCTCGCCCAGCTGGCCAGCTTTCCATTTCCCTTATGGATCGGAACCAGCATCCAGCAGCAAAGGAGAGACTCAGGGACCTTCAGAGCACATTTGAGAGCTGCCAGGACACAGCTCTCTGAGGCGCTCTCTGGGGAAGCCTGGACATGGATCAGACAGTCTTCAGTGGTTTGGTAAACAACCTAGTCAGAAGCTGCAGAGAGCCTGTGGTTAGGGAGCAGGGATATGGAGCACCAGGCAGGCACGTCTGTGTGTCACCTCTGAAACTTCATGGAGGAGGAGGCTGAAGGGGAAAGGTATGCGACAGCCAGCCCTGGTACTGACAAGCTTACAGCACTTTTTCCATCACGTGCTTGTAAAACGCGGTGACAGAGATATACTGGAATTACACCTCAGCATCAGCAGCCCAGAGATGCAGCTCCCCGGCCGGACAAGCTGAGCCACCAAGCAACAAATAACTTTCTCGGATGCACAGCCAGACCCTGGGGCAGAACTGGGATTGGGATTCCTAACTTTGCTGCTCCTGACCCAAAGTGCCAGCCATCAAGTCAGAGATCTTCACTAACTGCAATAACGGAACATAGCGGCATCGCTATTTGGCATCCTTCAGTATTGCAAAGCAGTGGGATCCACTGTGCAGCCTGTCCCTCAACTCAGGAGCACAGTGCCAGGGTAATTGCTCTCACTACTGCCTTCCCCCAGCCCTTGTGCTGATGGTCACAGGGCACTGCATTGCTTGTGCTTGCTTCATGCTTGGAAGACTCTCTCTGCCCAAGTTTGAAGATAGCCTCAAACAATAGCTGAGACAGAAGTGGAAATTGCCTGTTCATCTCTACAGGGTGCTGAGCCTGAAACTTCCTGATAATTGAAAGTGCTAGCACCGCTCAAGTATTTCACAGCTGGATGTTTACAAAAATGATCAGTGAGTGAGCTTATCCCGCAAACCCCGACTGCCGCAGGGGCCAGCGCTCCCAGCTGTCCTTTCTTCACTTCCCAAACATCTCACACAGCTAGAGATTTTCAATACCAAGTCCTGCAGCACATTCCATGCCATTAATCATCTTCCAATGCTGATGGAAATCAGAGGGTATCAAGCTGATCTGTATTTTTCCCTTTCAGGAGGCACACAGCAGTACTGAACTCCATGCCGCAACAGATTGCCGAGACGGGCGACGGCGCAGAAATGACATAAAACATGACAAAGCACGCTGTCCTTGACAAGCAAGCAGGGATAAAAAAAAAAAAAGCCAACAAATTTCTGCCTCTGGTTCAGAAACAGTTGTGAACAAGGCGAGAAGCTGGCGTAACAGAGCCGAAAACACCTAACAGGGCTCAAAGCCGTCAAGCTCCGAGGCCGCTGGAGCGGGCAGGGTGTCCTGCCGGCCAGAGTCACCGTGTGCCCAGCCTTACGGCGAGCGGCCCGCGGGCTCGGGCGGCAGCGGCGGGGCCGGGCGGGAGCGGAGCGGAGCGAACTCCGCGGCCGCGCAGCCATTGGGCGGTCACGGCGTCCGTCAGCCCGAGGAAGTGACTGCACGAGCAAGGCTCGAGGAAGGGCTCACCGCGGACACACACGGAAGGAGAGGGGGGAAAAAAGAGGAGGGACGCACGCTGCTTTCATCAGTGAGGAAAAAAAAAACCAACCACCCACCAGGTAAACTCGTTCGCTGCTAAAACCCCGACAGCATCCACGGCACGGGGCGCTGGGCTGTGTCCGCCACAGGGCTTATTACAAAAACTGAAAGTGCAAGAAAAAGGCGTGCAGCTTTTCAGGGAAACACGCAGCTCGCACTGGCTCCCTCCACCTTCCGCAGTCCCAGCTCAGCTTTAGGCACGCTAGCAAAGGAGGGGGTGGCCAGGTGAAAGCGAAAATGGAGGCCCTTCCCTTTTCTGTAACAACTTTGCCCAACGGGGGCTCGTTCCTAATTTGAGACCTCATGGCCTGCTTTCAGCAGAATCTGTAAAATAAATCCTCCACGGAGAAACCCACGAGGGAGGGGAACGGGCTCTCAGCCCGAGGAAGAAGAGGAGGAGGAGGAAGGAAGGAAACAGACCCTGACACACAGTGAGAGTTTGGAGCTCTCAGTTCCCGTCGCTCGTGGCCTGAATGTTTCCCCACCTTATGCCGCTGCCGTCACGGGGAGGTTGAAGAGGTTCCCCCCACCCACCTCCGCACTCCTGATTAAAGCCCCAAACCGTCCCGCACCCACCAGACAGTCACGCGGCAGTGCCCGCTCCCGGAATGTCACCGTCCCCTTTCCTCCCACGGCCCGTCCCTCGGCGGCCGCACAGCACCCCGTTTCCAGGGCGGCCCCATGCACACGCAGCCCTCCCTCCCTCCCTCCCCACAGGCTCCGGCACCGAACACACCACGCACCTCTCCCTCTTTCGGCCCGACCAGCAGCTGTGCTCAGCAGAGATAAGCCCCCCACCCGCCGCAGCCCTGACCCCCAGCCCATCCGATGGGCAGCGACGCGCCCGCCCGGCGTTTCCCGGTGGCGGCGGCTGCTCCTGCCCGATAACCCGGGGCGGACAGCGGATCGCGAAGCCGCCACCACGCCCGGCCACGCTGCCCGGCCCCGGCTGCGCCCCGGCTCCCTCCGTACTACAAAAGCTGCTATTCTTAGTCGGCGGAGCGCGCGGCGTCACAACAGGTTTCCTCACATGTATTTTAAGAGCCATTCAAAGGCAGAGGCAGGCAGCGCGCTCATCCTCGGGGGGAAGGAAAATAACAACAAGAGACACGGAAAGCATCACCCCGGCAAACACCCAGGGGACCCTCAGCGCCGTGTCCCCGAGGGTGCGGGGGCGCTGCCAGCCCCGTCCCACGGGGGTTCAGCGGTGCCGGCTCCGCACTGGTGCGAGGTGACAGGGAAGCGGTGACGGCGGGGCCGTCGCGCCTCCGCCCCGCGGGGGCTTCGGGGGCCGCTCGGCGAGGGCGGGCGGCGCTCCCCGAGCCCCCTCCCGCTCCCGCACGGCGGGGCCGCCGCCGCCCGCCCCTCGCCCTCCGCCGGGCCCCACGTGCGCGCCCGGCCCGGCCCGGCCCGGTGCGAGGGGCGGCGGCACCACGTGCCCGGCGCGGTGGTGACTCAGCACTTTTACCTCCGCCGCCCCGCCCGCCCGCGCCCGACCGGACCCGACCGGACCGAGCGGGACCCGGGCGGGAGCCGGGCCGAGCCGCCCCTTCCCCCGCGATCCAGCGGCAACGCGCGGCCACCCCCCCCTTTCCCGGCTCCGACCCACCCCCCCGCCCCCGCCCCCTCCGCGCCGCGCCCGGGCGGCTCCTCACCTGCGTGCCGGCGGGAGCGCCCCGTGGCGGGGGCGGCGGCGGGGGCGGCGGGGGCGCGGGGGCGGCGGCGGGGGCGCTGCGCGGCTCCCTCCTCCCTCCCTGCCAGCGAGTCCCGCGGACAACAACAAGCGCGGGGCGGCCGCCTCCCCCCCGCCGCGCCGCCGACCAACCAGCGCCCCCGCCGCTTCCGGCATGGCGCGTCACCGCGCGCGTCACCGCCCGCCCGGCCCGCCCGCCGCGTCACCGCCGGGACCGCCCGCGCCGCGCCGTTCATTCATGGCAAGGGCGCGGGACGGGCGGGGCCACGCTGCCGGCACGTCGTCGCCCCCCTTCGTCCTCGTCCGCATCCCCGTCCTTATTCTCATCCTGGTCCTCATCGCTCCTTCACCTCCATCTTTCTCCCCATCCACACCCTGATCCTTATCCCTCTTCTGTGTCCCCTTCATCCCCATCCTCACCCCGATCCTCATCCCTCTTCTGTGTCCCCTTCACCCCCATCCTCACCCTGATCCTTATCCGTCTTCTGTGTCCCCTTCATCCCCATCCTCACCCTGATCCTCATCCCTCTTCTGTGTCCCCTTCATCCCCATCCTCACCCTGATCCTCATCCCTCTTCTGTGTCCCCTTCATCCCCATCCTCACCCTGATCCTTATCTGTCTTCTGTGTCCCCTTCATCCCCATCCTCACCCCTCTCCAGCAGCTCCCTGCCCCCTGGATCAGCCCCGATGGCGGGGGCGCAGCGTGGCCGGGGTTTTGCGCGCTCACACGTTTTATACAGTCATAGAATGGTTGGTTAGGGAGGGACCTCAAAGCTCATCGCATTTCAACCCCCCTGCCATGAGCAGGGACACCTTCCACTAGACGAGGCTGTTCCAAACTGCATCCAAACTGGCCTTCAACACCTCCAGGGATGTGGCATCCGCAACTTTTCTGTGTAACCTGTGCCAGTGCCTCACCACCCTCATGGAAAAGATTTATTTCTGATTTCTAATCTAAAACTGCTCTTTGTCAGTTTTAAGCCATTACCCCTTGTCCTGCCACCACGTGCCTCAGTCAAAAGTCCTTCTTTAGCTTTCTTGCAGGCTCCCTTCAGACAGGGAAAGATGGCAGTAAGATCTCCCTGAAGATCTTCTTCTCTTGTCCAGGCTGAGCAATCCCAATTCCCTCCTTTCCTCATGCAAGAGGTGCTCCATCCTTCTAATCACTTTGGTGGCCTCCTCTGGACTCACTCCAACAGCTCCATGTCCTTCCTGTGCTGAGAACCCCAGAGCTGGGCACAGCACTACAGGTGGGGTCTCATAGGGCAGAGCAGAAGGGCAGAATCACTTCCCTTGACCTGCTGGCCTCTCTGCTTTTGGTGCAGCCCAGAACACGGCTGGCTTTCTGGGTTGCAAGTGTTTTGTTGGCTCATATCCAACCTCTCATCCACCAGCCCCCTCCAATCCTTAGAAGGGCTGCTCTTGATCCCTTCATCCCCCAGTCTGGATTGATATCAGGAGTTACCCTGACCCAGGTGCAGCACCAGCACTTGGCCTTGTTGCGGGGCAAATGACAGTGGGGAAACATGTCCTGGGCATCCCAATGCACTTGGGAGGACTCACTTGTTCCCTGGGCTCCTTGAGGTGGCCACTGACTAGCCTTGTCCTCCACTAGCTCTGGACCAGCCTTTGCCAGCACTGCTTGTCCTGCCGCACCCTGAGCATTGCAGCAGGGCAAATCCTGCCCAGGGCTGGATCCTCAACCCAATCTTTGCACTTTCTTCATGCAGTTGTGTGAGCTACTAAACACAGCACCCTGCCCCCTATGGTGTGAACAGCATTTCGGACCCTGGGGGCATCCAACAATGATGATAATGCATCAAAAAATGTAATAACACAGGCAGTTGACTAAACCAAACTGCCTCCATCTCAGCTGGACTTGTTTGGAGTTCTTTGTGTCCATTATAATGTTGGAAAGTCTGTGTTAGCCTCATGCAGTTTGTGCTTTCCAGCCTAAGGGCCATAACTGAGGCTGTGAGTAAGATCCCATCTTTCCCTGCTCCCTTTGAACAACAAGAGCTGCAAAACACAGGGAGGCTCATATCTGGCACAGCCCCATGTATCTAGGCAGCCAGAGCAAGGTTTAGGTGAATGCACCTCCCTGATGTTAAGAAATCCCCGTTTATCACTGGAACTGAGCTAATGAGGTTGGCTAAAGCTCCCAGGTGGTGGGTGGCATGAAGCTGCTGTCCAGTGTAGCTGCAACAGCTCGGCCTTCACCTCTCCCAGGTTTGCAGACACTGGTTGAAATGCTGCCCTGGGTGCTGGGACAGGGTGAGCTAAGGGCAGATTTCAGCCACCACTGTGGTCTCCACTGATGCTTCTGAGGTTTGTCTCCAAATCTTTCCATCCAGGAAGGTTCTAGTGTCTCAGAGAGCCAAGACAAACAAGGAGAGAGATGCTGGGTGTGGAAGCCTTTGGAGCCACTGATGCCCCCAGCATAGCCACCTGCTCCTTGTGCTCTCTCTGGGTGGTGATAACCAAGAGTGGTCAGAGCCATCCTAAATCATCCAGGGTTTATCCCTCAGACATTCACAAGATGCTGGTCCTCACGGGCAGGAGGGGTGGGCTGGCTGCATCCTGCATGGGGGTTTCACCCTCTGTGGTGACAGCCCCGCATATGGGGCTCACCAGAATTGAGGTATTTCCCCCTCTTTTTGCAACAACATGGGGTTTGAAAAATCACATATGGCAGGAGGGGAGCAGCTGTATCACGTGAAATTCTGTTTCTGGATGAATTTTGCTGTTCACAACAGGTTACTTTTTGTTTTCATTCCCTGGGGAAAGTATCTGTGCTCCAAAGGTCGGTTTTCATTCGCTGTTGAACTTTAGACAGCGGTGGCCTTCAAAGTAAACTAAGAACAGCTCTCCAGTCCCTTGAAAAGTGGGAAAGCCTGTGCAGCACATACACTTGTTAAGCAAATGAAGAGGAGTGCATGGGAGACAGGACCTCTGGTGGAAGCTTGGATGGAGAAAGGGCAGTGTTCTGGGATGTGTGGGGTTTTATGAGTCTGGCCCAAAACACACCCAGCATCACGCTTCCCTGAAGCCACTGAGCAGGGATAAATTGCTCTCACCCTATAAGAGGGCACAGAGGACTCCCTACTCTTGAACAGCACCGAGCGTAGACACAAACATTAAAAATAAAATTGAAAAACCGCCCAGCGCGGAGGAGGGGCGGTGATGCGCTGCTACTCCAGAGGCGCGGTAGGAACCGGCCGAGCGGCTCGTCGGGTGTTTACGGCGGGGCCGGCGGAGCCGCAGCGCCGGGAGCGCGGCCCGGTGCTCGGTGCTCGGTGCTCGGTGCCCGCCGCCCGCTGCTCGCTGCCCGGTGCCCGCTGCCCGCAGCCGCAATGTCAAGAGGACACACGTGTATGTAAGCGCCGGCACGGCCGGAGCGGGGCCCGCAGGCGGGCAGGGGCTCCCGGGGCGCGCCGTGCCCGTGCCCGCCCGGGGACGCGCCGGTTGTGTGTGTCCCCACCGGGCTGTGTGTCCCCACCGGGCTGTGTGTCCCCCCTAGCTGTGTGTGCCCGCCGGGCTGTGTGTGCCCACCGGGCTGTGTGTGCCCACCGGGCTGTGTGTGCCCACCGGCTGTGTGTCCCCCCTGGCTGTGTGTGCTCACCGGGCTGTGTGTGCCCACCGGGCTGTGTGTGCCCACCGGGCTGTGTGTGCTCACCGGGATGCGTGTGCCCACCGGGCTGTGTGTGCCCCCCTGGCTGTGTGTGCCCACCGGGCTGTGTGTGCCCACCGGGCTGTGTGTGCCCACCGGGCTGTGTGTGCCCCTTTGCTGTGTGTGCCCACCGGGCTGTGTGTCCCCCCTGGCTGTGTGTGCTCACCGGGCTGTGTGTGCTCACCGGGCTGTGTGTGCCCGCCGGGCTGTGTGTACCCACCGGGCTGTGTGTGCCTACCGGGATGTGTGTGCCCCTTTGCTGTGTGTGCCCGCCGGGCTGTGTGTGCCCGCCGGGCTGTGTGTGCCCCCCGGGATGTGTGTGCCCGCCGGGGTGTGTGTGCCCACCGGCTGTGTGTGCCCGCCGGGGTGTGTGTGCCCACCGGGATGTGTGTGCCCGCCGGGGTGTGTGTGCCCACCGGGCTGTGTGTGCCCGCCGGGCTGTGTGTGCCCACCGGGCTGTGTGTGCCTGCCGGGCTGTGTGTGCCCCCTGGCTGTGTGGCTGCCGCTGGCCAGGCCTCGGAGGGTTGAGCCATCCCGAGGTGGGCTTTAACCCAAGCTGGGTTCAAACTTGTTTGTGGGGGATGGAGCCGTTTTCTGAGCTTTTGCAGTTTGAGTGAGAGTGAGGAGACGGAGACGAGAAAGTTGTGGCTCTTTTTTAAGATGCTGAGATTGCTCCCTGCAAACTTAACAGTAGCATGGGGGTCTCCTTTGCTTAGAGTCTGGGAGTTGTTTGCCTGAGAGGTTGTGAGAATCAGCATTTATCAGTGGAAAGCAAGGACTAGTGGCAAATTCCCAGCTATTCCCTGCTCAGCCCCCCTCAGGTCTAAAACTCCTGAGTCAGGGCTTTGGACGATGATGACAGAGGATGCTCGAAGAGGATGCTCAGAGCAGAGGAATGGTCAGAGCAGAGAGTGCTCCACACCTCGGAGCTGCAGCTCTCAGCATCACAGCTCTGTTCCCACAGGAAGAGCAAGCTCGGTTTTGCTTGCACCTTCCAGAAACGCTGCAGCCCATTAATTGAGACCTGGGAAAAACCCCTTGAGGGGCCACCCTGTCACCTCCCGAAAGCAAACGGTGCTTTGTCCCTCGGGACTGGTGGACAGTCGGGTGTCAGTGTCTCCTCACACTTAGCAGGGTCAGGACCACCTAACCTTGGCAGAGCCTTCCTTTGCCGAGTTTGCCAGGTGCATCTTGGCTGAAGGTGCAGATGTGATGCTGCAGGATGCTGAGGCAAGCAGGCTCTGCCCAAACCACAGGCATCAGAAGAGGGGGAAGCTGTCCTTGAGGCCTGGGCAAGCTCTCCCCTTCTCTCCTTCACACCTGCCACCATCTCCCCTTCCATCCAGCACCAGGACAATGAAGTCGTACCAGAAGCTGACAACAGCACAGCCAGCAGCATGCCGGGTGGAAGAGGAGGGGGCTGCCCCCATGCCCTCCAGCCATGGGAAGCTGGCCCCGTGGTGGGTGGGCAGTGGGCTGCTGGTGGCCGCTGTTCTGCTGAGCACCATCACTGTCTGGGTGCTGCGGCAAGTATCGGGGGGCTGGCTCGGACCCACGCCACCCCCCAAATGTCTCCTGGTACCTGAGAGCCATCGCTTCGACTGCTACCCGGAGCGGCACGTGGTGGTGACCCAGGAGCTCTGTGAAAGCCGAGGGTGCTGCTTCATCCAGAGCCCCCCGCTGGCAGAGGGCAAGCAGGGGGTGCCCTGGTGCTTCTATCCCCCTGACTTCCCCAGCTACACCCTGGAGAGCCTCAACCAGACAGCTCTGGGCATGGTGGGGCTGCTGGTGCGAAGGGAGAAGGCCTATTACCCCCGGGACATCGAGAAGCTGAGGCTGGATGTGGAGTTTGAGACGGACACGAGGCTGCACATCAAGGTGAGCTTCCTGCTGGCTGCCCTCAAGAGCCTGTGACTGTGCTCCTTGCACCTGCCATCCTGTAGGGGACCCTCCCTTGCTTGGATCAAGTCTGGAATCTGCCGTGCTCCAGGCATGGCTGTGTGGGGCCAGTGAGCATCTCCAGCCTTTTGCCCTCTTGCTTTGCTGGTCTTTAAAGCCCCTTTTCTCCCTTTTGCAGATAACAGATGCGGCCAACCCACGCTATGAGGTTCCCCTTGATGTTCCCCGTGTGATGAAGAGAGCAGAAAACCCCATCTACAGTCTGAACTTCTCCTGGGACCCCTTTGGGGTGCTGCTGCAGCGCAAGGCAACAGGGACAGTGCTGTAAGAACCCACCTCATGCTCACACTGTGGCAGGTGGAGAGGAGTTTTCCCACCCTACTCAGGATCCAGCATGCTTCCCAGAGGTTTTTCATTAGGAAAACCCATGCTGTGAGGTCTCCAGCCAATTATTGCTCTTTGTCTTGCATCTTTTGAGCGGTGCTGACATGGGGATGTGGCAGCAGTGGCTTCCTGGCCCCAGGGGCTGGCCACATGCTTGCTTTGGCCATGGCAGACCTGCGTGGGATCAGCATCTCTCCAAAAACTTCCCAGTGCTCTGATTCCTCTCAGGGTCCTACAGAAGCCAAACATTGTGTAGATCCCAGCACATCACCAATAAATGATCTGGTGGCTCAGGAAAAATGCCAAAGAACAGTTGTGGCTTTGCCCTCTCCCTGCTTTTGGGTTTCCCTGGCTGTCCAAGCTATGGGGACACCCACAGCTCCAGGCTTTTTGTGGCAAAGGACTGCGGGTGACTTTGCTGTACATCTTCTGTCATCTCCACAGCTTTGCCCAAACTAAGTTGGTGGTGAGCACCAACAGCTGGGCAATGCCTGGTCAGGGTGTTTTGGGATCCCATTCTTTCCTCCTCCTTCCCATTTGCTGGTGGCTGTGGTCCATTCTGTACTTGGGAGTTGCTTATCAGTGACAGCAGGCTGAGAAACCCCATGGCCATATCACCTCAGTGGTTAACAGTAACCTGGGTGGAAACCTCTGGCATCAAAGGGAAGGCTGTGCTGTGCTGGGTCAGGTGGGCTTGGGCTATGCCTTGTGTCCAGCCAGACCTGAATTTGCTCCTGGGCCAGGGTGTTGGGGCTGGATGCAGGGTGGGATGTGCTGCTGACTTCCCCTTGAGATGCTTTGAGGGGGAAGAGATCAGTTATTGATGGACAAATGGATCCTAACAAGTCCCAGAATCCTCTCTTGACCCTCTCTCTTTCGTGGTGTCACCCTGGCAGGCTAAACACCACCGTGGCCCCCTTGATCTTTGCTGACCAGTTTCTCCAGATATCCACATCACTCCCATCCAAGTTCCTCTATGGGCTGGGGGAGCACCGTGGCAGCCTCCTGCACAGCCTGGACTGGAACACCCTCACGCTGTGGGCCCGCGACGTCCCTCCCACGGTACATCTGCCCTCTCCCCGTGGGGGTGCAGGGGGTGAGGGCAGGAGTGCCACTCTCCTGTGCCTTGGACAAAGCCTGGGAAAGCATGGCAGGGGTGGGCAGCAGCGCTGGGAGAGGCTGGGGATGGTTGAGGCTGATGAGCAGGTGTGTGCCGGGGAGGATTTCAGAGCAGTTGCAAAATGCTTTTGGCACTCCAAAGGCACTGGGTGTTCTGCTCCACCCTGCTCCTCGTGCAATGTGTTGTGGTGAGGCAGGAGGTTTTCCCCTCACCCAGCCCAGCTCAGAAGCAGCCCCTGAGCTGGAGGAAGAAGCAGCCTCCCATGGCCTTGAGGTTGAAACCTATCCTCATTCCTTGTCTTACACTCCAGAGGAGTGACAGATGTCTGGCTAGGTGGTGGCAGCATATACAGCTCAGGGTCATTTATTCACCTTCAGTGTCATGGGGCTCTCCTGCTTTGCTCTCTTTGCTGTCTTACCGGGCACCTCTTCTTGCAGGAGTCATTGAACCTGTACGGCGCCCACCCCTTCTACCTGCTGATAGAGGAGGGTGGAAATGCTCACGGTGTTTTCCTACTCAACAGCAATGCCATGGGTAGGTGTCCAGGGCACCCCAGGCCAGCTTGTCCATGGTGGAGGACCCGACAGACTGGGACAGATGGGAGCTGCTGGAGTGGCCAGTTTGGGACCTTGTGGTGGGAGGAAGCCATAAAAAGGAAAGCTGTGGTTTGATGGCTCCGTTATTGAGCGCAGCCATCTGTTTCCTGGCTACGGCGGGGCTCTTTAGCAACTGCCGAGCAGTTTAACCACACGCCCAGCTGCCGAGTTGCCATCAGGAAAGCAAGTCCCTTGCATGCAGCTCCGTGCCCATTCCCCTGCAGCGGCAGCGGGGCAGGGCTGGGCGCAGCCGGGGGTGCCATCTGTCACCCGCGCTCCTCCCAGCTGTGCTGTGCCCGGTGTGCCAGCTGATAACAGCAGCTCCTGCGGGCTCCTGCATGCCAGGGGTGGCACCAGGACCACCCGTCCCTCCCAGCAGCTGCCTCTTGCAGCCAGCTGGGATGATGCTGCTCCCAGCAGCGCTCCAGCTGTGCTCGGCTCTGATGCTGCTGAGGAGGAGCTCCTGCGAGATGCAGCCACCTGAGCTGAGGTGAAAAGGCTGCTCCATGTGAAGAGCCCTTCCCAGGAAAGGCCTGGCTCTCATGTGCTTGCTTGTACAAGTGGCGCTGTATTCACTTAGGGGGGGTTTTGGGGGAGGACATGAAGGAAAGCACTGCACTGAAGTGCTCAGTCTTGGTCCAGCAGTGGAAGCTGGCACAGATTGAGCTTAAAGAGCAAATTTTCAAGATAGCATCAACACATGATTTCTCTGGGCTGTGATGATTTAAGCTTCCAGACACCCATTTAGCATCTGCTGAGTGCAAGACAGGGATTTCTCTCTTCCCCTGAGCATTGCCTGTGGCACTGCCTGGGTCCCATCACAGGGGCTAAGGTCTGGGGGTTGCTCCTCAGTTGTCACTAACTTTTTCTCTTATCTTTCCCTTTCTACCTTCCCACTCAAAGAGGTGGCTCTGCAGCCTGCTCCAGGCCTGACCTGGAGGACTATTGGAGGAGTGCTGGATTTTTACATCTTCCTGGGGCCCAATCCCAACATGGTCATCCAGCAGTACCAGCAGGTGATAGGTAAGTGCCCACACGCCAACACAGCTCTTTACAGGCACGTCCTTCATGCCCACATCCCCAGCTGTCTCACCCCAGCTTCACCACCATCCCCAGCCCTCTCAGCTGGGCAGGGATCAGCATCCCCCAGCTGTTCCATCCCCAGCCCTTCTAGCACACTGTGGTCAGTGATCACCTTTTATCCTCCCTCTCCCCTTACCTTTCCATCCTTTTGAGATGCTGCTGCCATCTTGGGTAACCCCATCCATGCTCCCACTGTCCCACTGCAGGTTTCCCAGCCATGCCACCCATCTGGGCTCTTGGCTTCCACCTCTGCCGCTGGGGCTACGGATCCAGCAACGAGACGTGGCAGACCGTGAGAGCCATGAGGAACTACCAGATCCCCCAGGTAACCCCCAGGCCTGTGGGGCAGGGAGCCCAGTCTCCATCACCCATTCCTGAGCCTCTTTCCCACAGGATGGGCAGTGGAATGACATCGATTACATGGATGGGTACCGGGACTTCACCGTGGATTCCCAGAAGTTTGCTTCCCTCCCCTCCCTGGTGGAAGACCTCCACAAACATGGCCAGCACTACGTCATGATCTTGGTACTCCCCTCCTCTCCCACTGTGCTGTCTTTGCTGCAGGGATGTCAGACATGGGCACAATGGGTGCTCCTGGTCTCAGCTGGTTGTTCCTGGCTCTGGGGATTTTTGTAGGAGGCCAGTTCCCAGTGCTGGTCAGGCAGCTGTAAACTGTGACTGGAAATCCCCCTCATGCAGGGACCTTGGACACACAGCCAGGTTCTTGTGCTGTGCTTCTATCTTTCTGTGGGTACAAGGATGGTCCTGACCCCTGTGAGAGAAGGAATGGAGGAACTGTGGGTCAGGCAGCTTAACTTGTGCGTGCTCAGCTCAGGTGCCCTCACATCCCCACAAGTGCTGAGATCTTGTGACCTGGCTGTGATGTCCCTTCTTCCCTCTGCAAGGAGTGGGGGTATGGGTTCTGCTTCCTGGAGGCAGAGGAGACCAGCAGATCCTTGCAGGGGGAAGTTGGATTTCCTCCTCAATGAACTCTCTGTAGTAGCCCTGTCCATGACCTGACATTTCTTGCATAAGAGCACGATTTCTTGTATCTGTCCCCCCCTTCCCCAAAACACCGTAACTGTCCTGGGGACTTGCAGAAGTGGCATTTTAGAAAACATGCCTGGAAGCATTGAGGCAAGTTTCTCTTCCCCTTGGGGGGAAACAGCCACCGTGTGCAGGCTCTGGCTGACCCTGTCTGAGTTCTCTTCTGTGAATCACACCGGTCTGCCCAGGGGAAGGAGCCATGGGCTGCCTGGAGGGGCACTAACCCTCTGCTCCATCCCCAGGATCCTGGCATCAGCAGCACCAGCCCTCAGGGCTCCTACTGGCCTTTTGATGAAGGCTTGAGACGGGGCTTGTTCCTCAACACCACCCAAGGGAAGCCACTCATCGGGCAGGTGAGGAGCTCCAGGGGGAAATCCCAGCCCAGTGGGGTTGTGCAATACCAGGGTTGGGATTTCATCACAACAGAGGGAAAGCCAAGTGGGCAAAGGACTTCTCCGGGATAATTGCCAGAGCCTGGCTCAGCCCTGTCCTCCTCATGTGTCACCTCCTGGTGTCTTCACCAGCCCCCGGATCAGCCCCTGCTCAGCAGAGGAGCCTGTGGAAGTCATATGAGCTTCACAGAGTCAGCAGTGCTGCCTAAGGCCGGTCATCTGATTTCTCTCCCTTCCTGTTTCTGGGGTGAGGGGAGGTTGTCTGTGATGAACAGTGTGCCTCCAGACCTGCTCTGCAGCTGTTCCCTCCCACTTTGACCCCTCTGGCTGTTTTCTCCCACCTGCTCTCTCTCACTGTCTCCAAGGAGGGAGTTTTGATGCAGCCTGAAAACATGGGGGAAAATAAATTAGCTAAAATTTCTGGAATAAGGCAAAGCACAGAGAAATCATGGCTTTTCCATGACATGTTCTTGGTGAGGTGGTATCAGGTCTTCTGCAAGTGAGGGCAGAGCAGCTGCTCCATCAGCTGCCACTGCCCATGGACTGGGCAGCACCTGGTCCTCCCAGTACCATGGGGGTAGGAGGGATGCTGTGTGTGTAGCACCCAGGACCTGAAGCATTGGCTGGGTTTATCTTCTGTCTGATTGCCTGTTTCACCCCCAGTTGAAATCCCTGGCGTGCTGTGGTACCCTGTTCCCCATGGTGGCTCCCCAAAAATCAGCTGCTCACTGAACCCATGGATTTGTGGTGTCCCCACAGGTCTGGCCTGGTTTCACTGCCTTCGCAGACTTCTCCAACCCAGGCACACACCAGTGGTGGCTGGAGAACCTGCAGCACTTCCATGCCCACGTGCCCTTTGATGGCCTCTGGATCGTAAGTCCCTCCTTGTCTGTGGGTTGCTCCTGCCAGCAGCTCAGCTCATGCCTGCTGTGTGTCCTGGCAGGACTGTCCCTCAAATGCAGCTTTTCCAGCTCTACCGTGAATCCCAAAAACACACGCCTGAAATTGCAGCACAGTTTTCTTTGTTTAGGACATGAACGAGCCATCCAACTTCATGGATGGGTCTGAAGCTGGCTGCCCCCCAGGAGAGTTTGACAACCCACCCTACACTCCAGGTAAGGAGGGAGATGAGGTACAAGGCTGTGCTTATAGGTACTGTGTGCTCTGAGATGGCTGCCCACTGAGTGTGGTGAAGGAGAGCTATTTCTGAGAGACATTGTGTCTCTTTTACACCCTGAATGCCTTCATCCCTACCTTGATGTGCCAGTATCCATGTCTAAGCCATGCACACTTGTTAGGGCCATGTCAGGGTGCAGGACGGGGCCATTTGCATGAACTTTTGGCACTGGGTTGGCAGTGACAGCTGGGTGTGGGAGGACTGACCCAGATCCAGCAAGTGTGGGGCGTTCATATCCCCTGCACCCCAAGTGAGTCCAGCTGGGCTCTCCCTCCTGGCAGCCGTTCTGGGTGATTCCCTCTCTGCAAAGACGGTGTGTGCCTCGGCAAGGCAGAAAGTCTCGGTGCACTACAACCTCCACAACCTCTATGGGCTGATGGAAGCCAAAGCCACAGCAAGGTACCTCAGCATCCTGCTTCCTGGCAGTCTGGGAATGGGCTGGGACAAAACCCTTCTCTGAGCTGAGCAGGAAAAGGATGGGGATTTGAGTGTGAACTGTAGCGGAGAAGCTCTGACTGCTCACAGCTTCTGGGATGGGAATAACCCAGGAGAAGAGGGGAGCTGACAGTGCTCTGGGAGGAATGGGTGAATGAGGCTGGTCCTGCTGGAAGCCTTTGCCATAGTGCTTGGACTGACTCCCCACCCCTCTGCCAAGGAGCTGGAATTTTCCCTCAGGTGTTGTGGGATAAGGCAAACACCTGGTGGGCTGCTCTTACCTCCTGCCCCCAGCTCTCCTGTTGTTTTCCAGCGCCTTGATCAAGATCCGGGGCAAGCGCCCCTTTGTCATCTCGCGCTCCACCTTCCCCAGCCAGGGCCGCTACTCGGGGCACTGGCTGGGTGACAACCGGAGCCAGTGGAAGGACATGAGTTACTCAATCCCAGGTGGGTGGCACACACCCCCTACCACACGCCTAGAGCTTTCTGCTTGTTTGGAGACATCGCCAAAACTGTGCCCTGTTGACTGTCCCTGCCCTCAGGGCTGCTGAGCTTCAGCCTCTTTGGCATCCCGCTGGTCGGGGCAGACATCTGCGGCTTCTCCGGCAGCACCTCGGAGGAGCTGTGCACCCGCTGGATGCAGCTCGGGGCCTTCTACCCCTTCGCTCGCAACCACAACACCCAGAACGAGAAGGTCGAGGGCAGGGTGCCCAGTGGGAGCATCCTAGGGCTGGGATGTGGGATGGGGGATGCGGGATGGGGGGTGCAGGATACAGGATGCGGGATGTGGGATGTGGGATGTGGGATGGGGGATGCAGGAGGTGGGGTCAGGGGTGGGACAGCTGCTGACTGCCTGTGTCTCCCCCAGGCCCAGGAGCCAGCAGTGTTCAGCCCTGCAGCCAGGACAGCCATGAAGGATGTGCTGCTGACCCGCTATTCCCTCCTGCCCTTCCTCTACACCCTTTTCCACCGTGCCCACCTGCAAGGGGACACCGTGGCCCGGCCCTTGTTCTTTGAGTAAGGCCATCCCCACCGGGAGCTGGGGAGATGCTTGGGCTGAATCAGAGAGATTGAGCAGCATCTCCATCCCACCCCAGGTTCCCCTGGGATGTGGCCACGTGGGAGCTGGACAGGCAGTTCCTGTGGGGCCGGAGCCTGCTGGTAACACCGGTGCTGGAACCCGGGGTGGACTCAGTCACAGGTTACGTTCCCCAAGGCACGTGGTACGACTTCTACACGGTGAGGAGCATCATGGCATTTGGCTGGGGGCTGGGTGATCCCTGCTGACCCTCTTGGGGCTGGGCTGGGAAGCCCTGGCTGAGCCCAGTGTGCCCTCGTGGAGGGAGGGTTGGGGATGGCTGCTCCTCAGACCCGTGCCTGACCCCTGGTCACACCCACGTCTCTCACCCCCCACCCAGGGCTCCTCGGTGAACAGCAGTGGGGAGATGTTGAAGATGTCGGCCCCTCTGGAGCACCTCAACCTGCACATCTGGGAAGGTTCCATCCTGCCCACCCAGGTGAGTGCCCACCCATCGCCTTCCTGGGTGCTGTCCACAGCATGTGTGTCCCCCAGCACCTCAACTCCTGGCCCCCATCCCCACTGCTCATGGCCCTACAGAACACATGTCTTTGAACCCCAGAAACCAGGAACCACCACAGAGCTGACCCGAGGGAATCCCTTGCGTCTCATTGTGGCCTTGTCCTCACATGCCACTGCCTGGGGTGACCTTTTCTGGGACGATGGCGAGAGCCTGGACACCTTCGAGAAGGGCAACTACTCCTACGTGGTGTTCAATGTCACAGAGGTGGGATGTGGTGGGGAGGGCAGGAGTGGGGTGTCCCATGGTACCTGGTCACCTTGAGCTCATGCTGTCCCATCCTACAGAACATCTTCACCTCCACCGTCCTCCATGCCAGCACCGAGGCCACCAAGGTCACCGTTGGCACACTGAGCATCTTTGGGGTGCAGAAACCGCCCAGCAAGGTCCTCCTGAATGGCCGGGAGAAGCCCTTTTCCTATCTGGACAACCAGGTTTGGCCCCATTTCAGAGTGTCCCCATCCTGAGGGTCTCCACTCCTCCTCTTCCAGGGTCACAGTGTGACCAAAGAAGGGGGTCAGGACTCTCTGTGGCTCTCCTGCCATGCCAGGATTTAGGGAAAAGCATTCTCCACTTCCCTCCTGTCAAGGCTGTACCCCAAAATGTCTCCTCTCCCCCCACAGGTTCTCACCGTGAGTGACCTTGGCATGAGCCTCAGCCAGGGCTTCTCCCTGCAGTGGCTGTGAGCAGGGGGCCCTGGGGTCACCCTCGCCTTGCCAGGACACGCTGCCGGGAGAGGGTCCATGCTCCAGCCCTGAAGCCAGGATGCTGCCACGGAGGGGGCACTGGGGACTGTCACCTGCTGCTGCTCGTCCCCTCCAGCATAGCTGGGGACAGGGGCGTGGGATGGGTCTTGGCTGCTGGGTGCCCCCTGCATGGTCCTGGTGGGTGGTGTGGGTCCCCACTGCAATAAAGGCCTGTGGAGAACTTGTCCTGGGAGCATGATATGGGGACAGAAGGGGTGGGCAGCCAGTTCCTGCTCTTTTAGTCCTCCACCTCCATTCTCTTGACTCCATCACCCTGATTTCAGCTGCTCAATTTTAGTCCCAGTCCAACACCCCCTATTCCAGCCCCACATTCCACCCCTCCACTTTCAGGTACTACTTTCAGCTCCCCAATTTCAGCCCCTGACTGCAGCCTCCAATCTCAGAATCACAGAATCACAGAATCACAGAATAATGAGGTTGGAAGAGACCTCTAAGATCATCAAGTCCAACCTATGCCCTAACACCACAACTAGACTATAGCACCAAGTGCCAAGTCCAGTCTTTTTTTAAACATATCCAGAGATGGTGATTCCACCACCTCCCTAGGAAGAAAATTCCAGTATTTTATTATTCTTTCAGTGAAATTTTTTCCCCTAATATCCAACCTAAACCTTCCCTGTAGCTTGAGACTGTGTCCTCTTGTTCTGTCAGTTGCTGCAATCCCACCTCCTTGATTCCCTTCTTTGATCCTAGAACCCCGAATCACAGAATCATTTAAGCTGGAAAAGATCTCCAAGACCAACTCCAGCCGTGGACTAATCACTTTTTCCAATACACCGTGGCGCTGGGTGCCACGTCCAGTCCTGTCCTGAACACCTCCAGGGGCGGTGACTCCATCGCCACCCTGGGCAGCCCATTCCAATGTGTAATCCCCCTTTCCGTGAAGAAATTCCTCCGGGTGTCTGCCTTAACACTCCCTGCTGCTGCCTGAGGCTGTGTCCTCTTGTCCTGCTGCTAGTGGCGTGGGAGAAGAGACGGATCAATCAGCAAAGAACACATTTTTTAACCAAACGCTCACATATTCCGCCTCTCGCAGCCCCTCCGCCCTCGGGCTCCCTCAGAGCCCCCCGGTCCCGGGCCGTGCAGTTCCCCCTCCCGCCCGCCAGGCGGCGCTGCCCGGCGGGGCGGGCCGGGCCGGGCCGGGCGGCGGTTCCGGTTCCGCGGGGCCGCGGCCGTCGGTCGGTCCCGGCTGTCGGTCCCGGTGTCCGTCCGTCCGTCCCCGGTGTGTCTGTCTGTCTGTCCGTCCCTGGGCCGGTGCTCGGCGGCGCCATGAACCGGCCCAAGGCGGCGGCCGTGCGGCGGCCCAGCGCCGTGCCCAAGCCCTCCGGTGAGTGCCGCGGGGCCGGGCGGGCGGGGGCTGCGGGCGCTGTCCCTCGCTGTCCCTCACTGTCACTGTCGCTCCCTGTCGCTCCCTGCCGCTCACTGCCGCCCTGTCTCCCCTCGCAGCGCACCCGCCGCCCGGAGATTTCATCGCGCTGGGCTCCAAGGGGCAGAGCGGCGAGGGCAAGGCGGCCGTGGCGCTGCTGAAGCCGGCGCCGCCCGGGCTGCCCTCGGAGCGCAAGCGGGACGCGGCCGCCGCCTTGGCGGGCCCGGCGGGGCTGCCCGGGCTCACCAAGCGCCCCAAGCTCTCCTCCACGCCGCCCCTCAGCGCCCTGGGACGCCTGGCAGAGGCGGCCGTGGCGGAGAAAAGAGCCATCTCGCCCTCCATCAAGGAGCCGTCTGTCATCCCCATCGAAGGTGAGGTCTCGCTGCGCTCCTGCCGTCGCACGGAAACCTCGGGGAAACTTCTTTCTCTGGAGTCTCACCCCGGGAGTCTCTCTTGAAGCCCACACTGTAATTTATGTGCTGTCCTCGAGGGTTTCCTTCCCTGCATATGGGGCTGAAGTCAAGGTTTTATCTTCTGTTGGCATTGGGTTGTGTTCATTCTGTCTGACAGCTGTTTAGTAGCTGTGTGTGAAATATTCCTTTGAGGAAATCTCAAAGTCTGGATTGTGGTATTTTATTAATTCACTTTTTTAGCAAATTCTTGGTCTGGATGTTGCCTTTTGAATTGTCATTCCGTTTCTGATGTTGGATGCATTTGCAGAGGAGTATGCTATCCTGGAAAAACAATGAAGGGGCATTGTGAGTTGTGAAGCAGAACTTTTAATGACAATTGAGTAGGGAAAAGCTATTGCAGGGGCTAAAAGTGAGCTGGTCTGTCCTTTGCTGTGCCTTGTGACTGGTTCTGCAGCACCTCAGGGTGCTCATTTGGCATGAGGGTAAATGCTGATGCCTGTGTGTTGGTGGTTGCAGTTGTCCCCACGGTGCTGCTGGATGAGATTGAGGCAGCAGAGGCAGAAGGCAACGATGACCGTATTGAGGGCGTGCTGTGTGGAGCTGTGAAGCAGCTGAAGATGAACAGAGCCAAACCTGACACCACTCTCTACCTGAGCCTTATGTACCTGGCAAAAATCAAACCCAACATATTTGCCACCGAAGGAGTTATCGAGGTGAGGACTCACCAAGTCACTGATGGATCATTCCTGCCAAACTGTGAGCAGAGTTGCACTTTCTCTCAGGCCAGAGCATGGTCTGCATGGCTTTGTGAATACTAGAGATCTGTGACAAGCTGCTGCAGTTTGTATTTCTCTTTCTGCATGCTTTCTCAATAGATCACTTGTTTATTTTTTTATTTTTTGTGGCTGTTATTCCAGGCACTGTGCAGCCTACTCCGAAGAGATGCCTCCATCAATTTCAAAGCCAAAGGGAATAGTCTTGTGTCTGTCTTGGCATGCAACCTTCTCATGGCAGCCTATGAAGAGGATGAGAACTGGCCGGAGATCTTTGTCAAGGTTGGTGAAGTGAGGGGGCTTCTGCTGGACTGAGGCAGTGGTGGGCAGAGGAGGTTGGGAAATGTGGATATGTTGGAGTAGGGGAGCAGCACAGGATTTATTAAAGCTGTAGGGAAGGGGGTGGCTAGTGTCCTCTTGTCCACTGTGGGAATGCAGCTGGAGGAGGCCAAAATTGGAGTCTGGACCCATCTTTTTAAAGAAAAATCTCCATGGGTTTCTGGAATTGCCTTAATTCTGCTCTTTTCTGAGATGTCTTTGAGAGTCTGTATTGATGTAAGTGTTGCAGAGACTCCTTGCTTTCTATTTGGTGTGTAGGTATTAAAATAGCTCATTAACTCAAAAAGGCTGAGCTGACCAGCTTCTATATTTTGATGGCAGAAATTGTTGTAAAATCTTTCTTGAGAAGGTGCCCAGTAGAGCTTGGGATGTGGTGGTGTGTATTTTTGCTCTTGTATGATTATCTGGTCTGGTTTTCATCCATGCACTGGTTATGCTAGTTTCTTATTTTATACATATATATACACACACACATATAGTACACTATATATATATATAGTATACTATATATATATATATGTATATAGTGTACTATATATATGGATATTGTAAAATATATATATATATATCTTTATGGATTTCCAACATAGACATGTATACATATACATATATACATACATATATATATGACATATATATATATATATACATATATATATATGATATATATGATATATATATGTATATATGTCTATGTGGGAAATCCATAAAATATTGGATTCATAAAATATGTATATTGGAAATCCATAAAAACTCACAAATACTCCTTTAATTAACCCCATGAAAATGGACTGTGCTCCCTGCTGCAGGTGTACATCGAGGACTCCCTTGGGGAGCGCATCTGGGTGGACAGCCCTCACTGCAAGACGTTTGTGGATAACATCCAGACAGCTTTTAACACCAAGATGCCTCCTAAGACCATGCTCTTGCATGGAGAAGTTGGACGTAGTGGAGGGGACCTTAGTGCTGGTAAGATGATGTTTGGAGCAAAGGTTTAGGGAGAGGATGGAGCCTGCAGTGTTTATTGACTGGTTAGAATAGTTTGGTAGTGGATGGAGTCACATAGACCAGGCTTTGAGTTCCAGGCATTGCTTTTTTTTCTTTTTTGGGGCTCTTTCATGTCCAGGGGATGTTTGAAGGTAGTGAAAAATGGGCCTGTATGGGATGCAGTGTGAGAGGCTGTGGTCTTGCTGAAAGGGATCCCTGAAAGAGGCTGAACAAACCAGAGCACAAGTGATTGATTTCTAGAGAGGAGCTGTGTGCCGTGGTTGATCTCTCGGGAGAGGGGTTATCTCATGGAGTGTGCTGTGTTCTGGTCTCTCTTAGGGAGTAGCCCACACCCTTCCATGACAGAGGAGGAGGACAGCCAGAGTGAGCTGCTGATTGCAGAGGAGAAAATGAGCCCAGAGCAGGCGGGCCAGCTCATGCCCAGGTACAGTGCCTCTTCCTCTCCTAACACAGGTGTGTCTGCAGATGTGTCTGTGCCCACCCACCCTGCAAAGCTGTGTCAGGAAGCTCCTTCTCTGTATTCCTGTAGCACTGCTGGGGGATGTTGGACAAAAGGTAAAACTAGTGCCAGGAGAAACGAGGGGATTTTCTTGGTTTGCAAGTCATACCGCAAACAAGAAAGAGTGCTGATCTCTGGACTGGCTTTTGTGGAAATGAGTAAAGTTCAATGTGTGTGACTCAGGTATGAAGACCTTGCAGAGAGTGTGGAGGAATATGTCCTGGACATGCTTCGGGACCAGCTGAACCGGCGCCAGCCCATGGACAATGTCTCCAGGAACCTCCTGCGGCTGCTAACAGCAACCTGTGGCTACAAAGAGGTGCGTCAGATGGCTGTGCAGAGGCTGGAGATGTGGCTGCAGAATCCAAAGGTAAGGAGAGGAGCTATTGAGGCACAGCCCTGGCCTGGAATCCAGCCAGAAGGGCTGCATGCTGTACTCCAGTTGCATTTCTAGTCTGGATGGCTGGAGTCTTTCTGCTCTTTCTCTGCAGCTGACCAAGCCAGCTCAGGACTTGCTGATGTCAGTCTGTATGAACTGTAACACCCACAGCTCAGAGGACATGGAAGTTATCTCCAACCTGATCAAAATTCGTCTCAAGCCAAAAGTCCTTCTCAACCACTACATGCTGTGTGTCAGGTGAGAGACTGGGTCTGTGACAGGAGGAGAAAGCACTGTGGGAGATGTGCCCAGGGACTTGACAGTCTCAGTGTCTCTGCACAGTGGTTTTAAATACCAGCTTGGGGCATGGAGTGTCTTGTGTTCATTTAAATGTATTTCACTGTCCTAGAAATCTTTCAGTAGTCCTTTGATATTGTCTTTTGATATGTGCTGTTCTATCCTTTTTCACTTTTGTGTGCTAAATATTTCAAGGAGAAATGAGAAGAATATGTCTAGTTGCAATGAAATGTCAGTTCAGGTATTCCTGTTCTTCCCTTGCAGAGAGCTGCTGAATGCACACAGGGATAACCTGGGCACCACCATTAAGTTTGTGATTTTCAATGAACTATCAAATGCAAGAAATCCCAACAATATGCAGATCCTGTATACTGTGCTTCAGCACAGCTCAGAGCAAGCTCCAAAGGTAGGTGCAGTGTCTTGGATGACTGATGGTAATCCCAGAACCCCACCTGACAGATTTAGTTGTTTTAAGGCTCAGATAAATCTTGTCACAGACAGCTGTCTGATATTTATCATACTGTTTTGAAATTATATAATTATTCTTTTTAGGAATAAACATAAATGGGCATTTTCTAACTCTCACATTCTGGGTGATAATGCAGTTTTATGAGAGAAATATTGCAGCTCCCCAGGGGTCTGAAGGACAGGATACCTCAAGCATGGTTTCCTTCTGTCTCTTCATTTTGTGGATGCAGACCCATTACAGTGCACTGAAAGTTTTCTCTCTGTGTGGTTCCAGTACCTGGCAATGGTGTTCCAGGACCTGTTGACCACCAAGGACGATTACCTGCGAGCTTCACGGGCTCTGCTGAGGGAGATCATCAAACAGACAAAGCATGAGATCAACTTCCAGGCCTTCTGCCTGGGTCTCATGCAGGAGCGGAAGGAGGCCCTGTATGCAGAGATGGAGTTCAAGGTACCATCCTCAACCCCTGTGCTGCTGATGTGCCAGTGATGCACTGAGCTCTTCTGTATCTGCTTTCCTGGCCCTTCTTCCTTTTGCTCTTTGGTGTCTGAGTGAGTCACTGTTCGTGTGTCTCATAGCAGCACTCCCATATCTCATTTCCAAACATACACATTCATAATTTTTGATGTCGGAACACTTCCAGAAGGCAGCTCTGGCTGTTGCTATTCAACTCTTTTTCTTTTCTTTCCTATTTTAAGGAGCGGTTTGTCATTCACATAACCGACCTGCTCGCTGTCTCCATGATGCTGGGTATCACAGCCCAGGTGAAGGAGGCTGGAATTGCTTGGGACAAAGGAGAGAAAAAGAGTAAGCAGAAGAACCTAGGTTTTCTCTGAAGATGAGCATTTTAGTAGATATCTGCCCCTGATGCTGAGAGAACATCAGCTAGGGTTGGGAGCCTGCTGTCATTCTGGGGCTGACAGAGATTGGGAATGTGGCATTTGCATGGCCAGATGCTTGTTGTGTCTGTGGAAGCAGTGGCTGAGAGGCTGGGGAGAGGGAGCTGTGGGTGGAGGGGCCTCAGGTCTCAAGGAGCAGCTGTAAGGATTAAGGGGCTGGGAAGACAGGCCTTTGGTGTGGCACTGACATGACTGCCCACATGGCTTCTTCTTACAAAACGAATCCATCTGTGCTTTGTGTTGGGGGTTTTGCTGCAGCATGTGTCAGAAAGCAAAGAGCATTTTCTGTCAGAGCTGAGGGACTTGAGTCTTTCTCATACACTCCTCTGGTTCCCCTTCTCTAGTGGAAGGTGTCCCTGCCTGTGGTGCAGGAATTGGAACAAGGTGATCTTTAAGGTTCCTTCCAGCCCAAACCACTTTGTGATTCAATGATTTACTGTTGAGGCCTCAGAGTCCTGGTTACTGTCTTGAAACCACCATGCTTCTGATGATGCCCACATGTATTTTGTGACCTGACTGTTTTTCAGACCTGGAAGTGCTGCGCTCTTTCCAGAACCAAATTGCTGCTATCCAGCGTGATGCTGTCTGGTGGCTGCATACAGTTGTTCCATCTATCAGCAAGCTGGCTCCAAAGGACTATGTGCACTGGTGAGAGTCAGCCTGGTCATGTCTGTGCATGACCAATCCCTTCCCCAACACTGATATTTTATGAAAAACCAGGTATACACCAGGGTTTGGTTAGATTTCTTTCCCATTTTCAGACAGGGAGCAGAAACAGTTTTAACAGAGACTGTCTCCCTCTCTGAAATTCCTTCAGATGAAACCTTGTACCAGAAATATATGATAGTGGAAATAATTCTGATTTATATTATTTGAGTCCACTCTGTAGGGGATTTTTAGCTATCTGACCAAACAAATTCCCTGTGGACTCTTTGTTTTTTTTTGTTTGACATCCTTTTTAAGGCTCTGTGGCTGAGGGCTCCACAGATAGCTCTGTCTTCTGGAGGACAGATGGTATTCTGGGGTCTTGACGAAGGCATTACTGAGACAGTTCAAGCCAGAATTAATAGTAAGGAAGATAGGTTACTGAAAGTATAAAAAAACAGAGCCCATATTGATTGTGTAGTCCTCTCTGTTCTGAATCATGTTGTTACTGCTGTTAGACTCACTTATCTGAGGGGACTCCCTCATGTGCAGGATGGGAAGCTTTAGGAGGATTTGAGGGAGACTGGACTGTTGTATGTATTCTTAAGCCTCACAAATGGTGTTTATTGTCCTCTTCATCTCTACAGCCTCCACAAGGTGCTCTTCACAGAACAGCCAGAAACCTACTACAAATGGGACAACTGGCCCCCTGAGAGTGACCGCAAGTGAGTGCGTGCCCCTCCCGTGGCGGTGCAGGTGGGGAGCTGCTCTGCTGGAGGCAGAGGAATGGGTGCTTCCTGGTGGTCCTTATATAGCTCTGTGTTGGAAAGGCTTGGAACTGTGCTCAGATTTTCTGCATCTGTTACACTGCCATAAAACTGGGGGGTGTTGTTCCACTCTCCATCTGTTCCTCTTCCTCCTTCATTCCTGTTTTCTGTGCCAAGTTGTTCTGCATCTTGACACTGTAGTTGTAAGGAGAGCAGCCCCACAGTGTGTGGGTAACTGGGGTAAAGTTAGGGAGCTCAGACTCAAGGAGGTATGAGTTACTGCAAGTGATATGCAGATAATAATTTGTTTCAAATAGTTGCACTTGGAGCTGGAGCTCGGGGAAAGGAGCTGTGATGTATCTTCAGCTCAGATGAGTTGTAGGGTTCCAGGAGCCCTCAGGCTGCTGTTTAAAGAAGTGTGATTGATGTCTGGTGTCTCCTGCAGCTTCTTCCTCCGCCTGTGCTCCGAGGTGCCCATCCTGGAGGACACACTGATGCGCATCCTGGTGATCGGGCTGTCGCGGGACCTGCCCCTGGGCCCCGCCGATGCCATGGAGCTCGCCGACCACTTGGTGAAGAGGGCTGCAGCTGTGCAGGCAGATGGTGAGGCTGCACACAGCTCCCACCAGCCAGGGCTCGCTTCTCCACGTCTTCCTATTGCCACCCAGGGCTGAGACAGCTCCTACCGCCTACCAAAGAGCCTTTGCATCACTTAAAGCATATTTTAGTCATGATGGCTAAACATTTGGCTTAAAGCCAGACATGCTGCTGTTGCTTTCTCACTAGAGAAGCTTCTTATTTTCTCTTACTGTTTCTCTCTGTTGCTAATTTTGTATTGTGGGATGTTTGGGAAATTATTGGTTGTGTGGAGAATGAAGGACTGTGAACAACCACCCAGGGTTTTGAGTCAGCGTTTTTAAATTCAATTTAGTCCTTTGTACGTACTGTAAAATGAAATTTGTAGGCTGTGCAAAAATGGAAGGATTGGAAGTTAAATTAATTAGCCAATTGTGTGCTCTTCCCAAGTCCATTATTGGGACACTTACAGAATAGCAGTTACAAAAGCAATCTTTACTCTTACTCCTTTTATGAACTCATTTAGCATTTGTCTAAATTCCTGCATTGCTGGTAAATACATCCATTTAGCTGAGCTGTATGTGTTTGTGGCAGAATTGAGGGTGTGGTCAGAGTTTGATTCTAAAGCATCTTACATGCTCTTAGTGCTGACTGATTAATGGCAAAGAGTGATCTTGAACTGCTCAGTGCTTGTGGAAGGATCTAGACTTTGCTTGCTTTGTTGCTGTTCAGTATCCTCTCAAAATGTGTCCAGCCTCTCATATAGGATTTTAAATCCTGCCCCATTTAATATACTGGAAGACTCAGAGTGAATCTGAAAACTTGCAACAAAATTGAAATGCAGTTTTAGTTCCTCTGAGCCCCAGAAGTTCTGAGCAGACTTGTTACTTACCTGAAGGAGTGTATCCAAGTTCTGAAAAAGTTACAAGTATCATATTGGATGCATTTGGGGAAAAAAAGTACCCGTAAGAATTTAAACCAGATTGCTGCTGGAAAGCTCTATATCCTTATATATTGGCTTATAGGATTTTTTAAGTGTTGCTGCTCTTTAAATGTTGATTTTTAGTTTTTGTAATATCACAAGAGCAAGCTCACAATAACATAGTTGCTTGAAGTAAATTTTTTTTACACTGTGATGCTTTTCTTGAAGGACTTTCAGGCAGGTAGACAGGTCAATAACTTGTTCAGTCTTTTCTTCTCCTCCAGATGTTGAGGTCCTGAGGGTAGAAAGAATCCAGCTGATCGATGCAGTCTTAAATCTGTGCACTTATCACCATCCAGAGAATATCCAGCTACCTCCAGGGTAAGACTTATCACACAGATAATCTTGCTGTGATCTTGCTCACTTTCACCTTGTGACTAACATTCCCAGCTCACAGATTTTAAGATGCTTTTCTCTATTAAAATTTGTAATAACAAAATGACAAGGATTTTCAGGGTCATGTTCAGGCGGGTATTTCTCTAGAGCAATCAAGACCCGAGTCATGGAATGTACTTTGGTCTGAAAGAACTGATCCTTCTGCCCTAGAAATCTTCAGCTGAATCCCGCTTTCCCTCCTGAAAGGATTTTTGTGTGTGTGTGAGTGTCTCTTTATTGGGAAAAGCACTGAACTGGCATGACTGAATCTAAACAGTGCATAATTAAGGAGAAACACAGACTTGAGATGGGCTAAGGAACCAAACTTGACCACTTATCTTTACTGGTGGTTTTTGCAGATACCAGCCTCCAAATCTAGCTATTTCTACTCTTTACTGGAAAGCCTGGCCTCTCCTGCTAGTAGTGGCTGCATTCAATCCTGAAAATATTGGTGAGTGTGGATATTTCTCAGGGTACCAGTTCTGCTGCAAAAATTAGCCAAGGTGCTTTCTGCACATGTTTGGTTGCTTGTGTGCAAGGCCTGTGCTGGGTTGGTGAGGTGACTGCAGTTAAATAACTGTGTATCCCCTGTGGGTGAAAAATGTGTGCAGCTGGGATTTGGACCAGCATGTGGCTGGAGTTGCCTTGTTTCTACTCTGAGTATTATGAGCTGTTCTCAAGTGAGTTTGTGTTTCCCCACCTTGCAATGTGATAGAGTATATATAAAGGCTCTATTTTTTTCCTCTATTTTTTTATTCTTCTCTGCTGCAGGTCTGGCTGCATGGGAGGAGTACCCCTCACTAAAGATGCTTATGGAAATGGTCATGACCAAGTTAGTATGGTTAAATCCCTACATATATCAAAAAGACCACTGAAAACACACATTTCTGAATTAAGTTTGTGCCACGCAACTCCTTCCTTTCCAGAGGGACTTGTGTAAGATAAACTGGCATCAACACTGCAGTTGGAGTGGGAAAAGTGCCTTCCCTCGACAAAAATATTATAAGCAAGGGAATAAAGCTGAGAAAAAGGGGGAGGGGGATGTCTACTGTGCCTTGCTGAGAAGGTCTCAGTCTCCTGGCTCCACTGAGAAACTACTTGTTTTTTTCTATGTTGTCTATCGGAGCTGAGGTCCTGTGTTCTTTCTGATTGGTTCATGAATTTTGAATAGAACAAGATAACCATTTCCTATTTGTAAACTTATTTTCTCAGTAATTATTCCTATCCTCAATGTACCTTGACGGATGAGGAGACACGCACAGAGATGATTAATCGTGAACTTCAAATCTCCCAGAGAGAAAAACAGGAGATTCTGGCATTTGAGGGTCATCTGGCAGCTGCATCCACAAAACAAACAATTACAGAAAGCAGCAGCCTCTTGCTGTCTCAGCTGACAAGTCTGGACCCTCAGTAAGTAGCCTTCTGCATTCTAGTATCATCATGAAATCCTAGTTAACAAGTAAGAAAGCCTTGCTCCTCCAAAGGGTGGTTGATGTGGGAAAGAAGAGCTCTGTGGTGTGGTACCCCATGGGATCACAGAATCACAGAATGGTTTTGATTGGAAGATCACCTGGTTCCAACCTGCCTGGCTTCTTCCTATAAACCCCTTATGCACTACAGAACTGACTGATCCTCATCACATCAGAGTGAAGGCCTGTCAGCCTGTAACTTGCTGTTTCTGTGGCAGGGGCCCCCCTCGCAGACCTCCGCCGCATGTCCTGGAGCAGGTGAAAAGCCTGAACCAGTCTCTTCGCTTGGGCCACCTGCTATGTCGCAGTCGCCATCCTGACTTTCTTCTCAACATCATCCAAAGACAGGTGGGCTGTGGTGGGACTGGATCCCTTGCCTCTGAAACTTGAGCAGTGAGGGGCAACATGAAGCCAAGTGAGATTCAGGGGAACGTGGTCTGCTGCTCAGGAATGAAATGATCAGTGTGCTGCATCTATGTTCTGCTGATCTTGTTACTCTCATCCTTCCCAGGCCTCATCACAGTCAATGCCATGGCTGGCAGATCTGGTTCAGTCCAGTGAGGGCTCCTTGGATGTCCTGCCCGTGCAGTGTCTTTGTGAGTTCCTGCTTCATGATGCTGCTGATGAATCGACCTCAGGGGAAGAAGAAGAGGAGGGTGAGAGTAAGGACCAGCGTGCCAAGAAACGCCAGGTGAGCATTCTCTTGGTGATCTCTCCTGTTACCTACTTTCTGTGCGTCCCAGATTTGATTTCACTGGACAGACCAACTTATCACTCCACAGAGACAACAGAAACAAAGGCAGTTGCTTGGACGCTTGCAAGACTTGCTGTTGGGACCCAAAGCAGATGAACAGACAACCTGCGAGGTGCTTGACTACTTCCTGCGGCGCCTGAGTTCCTCCCAGGTGGCTTCCCGGGTCCTGGCCATGAAGGTGAGCAGAATGAAAATCATCTTGAGTAGAGTCTTCTGAAGCCCAGGGCAGAACCCTAGGTTATCTTGAGTCCAGAGCCAGCACAGTGAAATTGTTCCATGTCATCCTCCTTCAGTGATTTGTCTCAAAATCCAAACCCCATCAAATACACTTCTGCTCCCTGCTGCTTAGAAGTTATTGTTCAACAGCTAAGTTGTACTTAAGACAGAGCTGGATTTTACTATGTTTCCTGTGGTGTTCATGTGTAGGCTCAGGAGATTGTGTGCCATGTGGAATAATGAGCAGAGTCTGTTGTTTGTGAGTGAGTGCCTGGTGCTCTGGAGCATAGACAAGGTAAAGAGAATTGCAGGAAACCTCACAAAGGTGCTCAGACTGAAACTTCAAGTAGGGTATCTGTCAAGAAAACACATTATATGAGATAAAACCTGTTGTGTGCTGCATTTGGATCCTTCTGTGGTGTTTGAAGCATGTTTCTGTTGTATTCAGTAATATGAAACTAGCAATCCAGCCATGGCTTGATGTGTAACAGCTGTACATGTATGACTTGTGCAGGGCCTGTCCTTGGTGCTGTCGGAAGGAGGAATGCGCGATGGGGAGGAGAAGGATCACCCCATGGAAGAAGACTCTGGTGATTCTGAGCTGCTGCAGGGATATCAGTGGCTGCTGAGAGACCTCCCGAGGCTGCCACTGTTTGACAGTGTGAGAGCCACGACAGCTCTGGCCTTGCAGCAGGTGGGTGGAAGCAACTCAAAGGGAGAGTCAGCTTGCTCTTTTTCTACTAGTGCTGAAACAGATCTAAACAAACTGGATCTGCCTGTGATATTAGCATGTTTGTGTGCTTGCAGAAGAATTTTGCTTATGCTGGTGCTTGTTTTCATTAAATCCTGATTTCTAATGAAAGGAATTCTCATTCTAGGCCATCCACATGGAAACAGATCCCCAGACCATCAGTGCTTACCTGGTGTACCTCTCCCAGCATGCCCCAGTAGAGGAGCAGGGACAGCACAACGACCTTGCTCTGGTGAGAGGAGGAATTGTGTGGGGGACATGTGGCATGTCCCAGGACAGTGGTAGGCATGGGACTTGCTGTACCACCAGGTTGAGTTTTGGGGAGTGTGTTACTCTGAAAATTGCATATTTGTGTCTGTGCATGGGTTGAAAGGCAAACCTGTGTCTTTGGTTTATATAATGAAATGGGAATCAGACCAAAACCTCCGGTGCAGCAGCCCATCAGCTGGAATGGGGGATGCAAGAGTGAATAGTGTTTTGATAGAAATCCCACCACCTGGCAGTGTTTCATAAATAAGCAGGTGCTAAACCTGCAGTCATATGTGTTTGTGGAGAGAATGGGAAGTCAGGAACTTCAGTGGTGGGTTGTTTCTGTAACCAAAACTAGATTTCTGGGTTTATTTGTTTGTGTGAGTTTTTTTTTCTTTTTAGAAAAGCTTTTTAATAATGTTTTTTTTTCTTTTTTCTCCCTGGTTACTTTTTTGTTGCTTTTAAGACTTATGTACCTCTGTTTGGATACATGGGGGAGGTTGAATGATAAGCATCAGGAAACCTTTCTCTTCAGAGAAATGCTATGTAGACGCTTACTTCATAGTGGGATGCATCAGAATGCATCTCTGCTCCACTGGGGCACTGTAAGATGCATGGAAAGCACTGGCCTTTTCCCTCCTGGGTCAGTTCTACTCTTGACTCCACAAGCTGATCTCCAGAGTGGTGTGTACTGGGCTGCTGATGGGAGCTGGAGAACATGATGCAATGAAGCAGTGGGACCTGGATGTGTTTTGCACTAAAGACCTCCTGGATGTTTTTTCCCCGCAGGATGTCGCCCGGCTGATTGTGGAGCGCTCCACCATCATGTCCCACCTGTTCTCCAAGCTCTCCTACAGCGCTGAGTCAGATGCAGTGCTCGTGGCTCTGCTCTCCATCTTCTCCCACTACATCAAGCGCATGCGGCAGAGCAAGGAGGGCGAGGAGGTGTACAGCTGGGTGAGTGCCTCCTGCCTTGTCCCAGCAGCTCACAGAGACTGGGCAGGTTATCAAAACAGAAGCCCTTTATGAGTTAATTTGAATAAACCAAGTCCAGCTCAAGAATTCCCTGATCTGAAAATAATCAAATTGTGACATAATATCAGAGCCAAGCCTATGTGTTTGTAAAATGCCTTTTTAACTTTCCCCCAAGTATCTTTTGTGGCCTCTGTTGGAGATTTTGGGAACTATGGACTGAATAAATTTGTCCATTCTCATGTTCTCCTTTCTCTCCCCACCTTTGCTCATCCTGTCTTATCCTGCCTTTTTCCAGTCAGAGTCCCAGGATCAGGTGTTCCTTCGTTGGACTAGTGGGGAAACAGCCACCATGCACATCCTTGTGGTCCATGCCATGGTTATTCTCCTGACACTAGGGCCACCTCAAGGTTGGTGAAGTATGCTCAGATTTTTTGGGGGGGTAATGGTCAATACAGGATAGCTTTTATCTCTCTGCTGTCTCCTAGCAAGTCAGACTGGTGTTAATCCTTCTACTCACATGCTTGACCCTTGCAGTACATGTTTGTAGCTGTAAGATTTATTGGAATATTGCTGCAAAGAGTGAAGGAATTGCAGGCTGGTTGTTTTGGGGGTTTTTTTTTGCTTTCTGCAAACAGCAGGAAATACTAATGTGTTCTGGTGTATTGATATAGAAGAGCAGAGTCTTATAGGTGCTTGTGAACATGGGAAATAATTTTTTATCCGCTCTTAAGCAGGGGATGGTGATTTTTACACCTTACTGGATATATGGTTCCCGGAGAAAAAGCCCCTTCCTACTGCTTTCCTGGTTGACACCTCCGAGGAGGCTCTGCTGCTCCCTGACTGGCTGAAGCTGCGGATGATCCGCTCCGAGGTCCCACGGCTTGTGGATGCAGGTGAGCCTGTGGCACGTTTGTTGGTGTTTCAAACTCTGCTGAAGGGAAAGGGAGAGGCTTCCTTGCTCAAGTGTGCCCAACCATCCTGTTTGGATGCCTTTGGGTGTAGCCATCTGTCACTGTTACTTTTAAAATAGGGAAGTGAGTCTCAATGGGTATTCTCCTTTCTCTGTATTTTAAAGGAATGGGAGACTCTGAATTGAAGTCCCATCTCTTTTACAACAATACAGATGGAACTAAGCTATGCAGTCACCAGACAACAGGCACAGCACTGTGGAAAGCTGTGCCTAAAGGATGTAAGCTAAACCTCTGGTTACTCTGGTCCTTGTACCACTCGTCAGGGCTCTCTTTCTTCTTGGTATTCAGAGCTTTCATCCCATTTTACTAATTAAATGACAGCTGTCTATAGCCAGTGATTGAATTATTCAATAATTCCTGCCTGCAGCCATCAAGAGATAGGGTGGAAGTTATTTTTTAATATGAATGATTGCATTACTGAGGTTCTAATAAAATTAAACAGAAGATCAGATTAGCCAGTGAGTGAATTAACTGGAAGATGCAATAAGGCGGCAATGATTTGCAGAGGAAAGAAAATATAGTAGGCAGCTGTCAGACTTCTGGCTTTAGGGTCTCTGCAGCTCTGTCATTAATGTGTCACTGTTGGTCCAGACAAAAGCACAAAGATCAGGTAATAAAGATGACCCTCCATGGGCAGTTCAGATGTCTGAGGACTCAGTGTTTGTCTATTTCAGCCCTGCAGGACCTGGAGCCACAGCAGCTGCTTCTCTTTGTTCAGTCCTTTGGAATCCCAGTTTCCAGCATGAGCAAACTTCTGCAGTACCTGGATCAGGCAGTATCTCATGACCCACAGACGCTGGAGCAGAACATCATGGACAAGAGTAAGAGCTACAGAGGAGGCTGACTAGGCATTTAACTTTTTCTTGAACTGTTTCCATGAATATCTCCTGTGGCTTCCTTGGAAAAATCCAAGCTAGTTCAGCAAATTTTGTGCACAGGCTGATTTGGCAGCTTGTTGTCGCTGTAGACACTTGGGTGGCCCTTGGCAATAGAGGAGGATTTTTTGGATTGGAATGTACAGAGTCAAAAAGTACTTTGGAAGATACTTTGTGAAAGAAACAAAGCTTTCAAGGCATCATGTTTACAAAGTCTGTGGGAGCAGCAGATTCTCTTGTCTATGGAAGCTGTACAAACAGCCAATTATGTCCTGCTTTAATGAAGAAGGCAAGATGATGATGTACTCTTATTTCTTCCTTTTTTCAGACTACATGGCTCACCTTGTGGAGGTTCAACATGAGAGAGGAGCAACAGGAGGCCAGACTTTCCACTCCCTGCTTACTGCCTCCTTACCAGCCCGCCGAGGTACTGCTTGGGATAGCCTAAATATCAAAGTCACCTTCCAAACTTCCCTCCTTTGTTGCTGTTGAGAGGAACAGCAGAGATGTCTTAAAAAGCAGGCATTGTAATAAACCAACAAGCTACAGTTAGACACCAGTCCTTGCTAGAGTTTTTTTGCTTCTGGCAAAGAGTGAAATTCCAGTATTTTTGGAGTTTATTACAGTGAGTTTTTCTGAGTCATATGGAAAAGTAGGTCTTGCTTGGAATTAAGAGAAAGCTGCTGAATTTCTCAGTAGTTAGAGACTGTAGAGCTGAAGGTGATCTGGTGTTGTGGTTCCAGATGTTATCTGCCATAACAGCATTTTCATTTCTTCCCTTTTATTCCTCTTGCAGACAGCGCTGAGACTGCAAGGTCAAAATCTAGTCCTGAAAACTCTCAAAGTCAGAGTCGGATCCGGGCCTTGAGCCAGGTCCGTGTTCTGGGCCCAGAAGATGATCTGGCAGCCATCTTGCTGCAGGTACTGTTCTAACCTCCAGCTGAGTAGCTGCTTCCCTGCAGCAGCTTTGCTAAATCCATTTCTCTTATACTTGCATCTTGTGACTCCTTATCCTGCAGTGTTTGCAGGCAATAAGTATGGAAGCCCTGATGCAATGAGGCTGTGCCATTACAGCCTGGTGGAGTTGATACTGGCAGGAATTTTCTCTTGTAGTTGGAACGTGATGTGGCTTTTGATCATGCCTGGTACTGTCAGTACCTACTAACATGTTGCTGTCTCTGCACCTTGTTTGTTCTGTGCATAGCGCCTTTCCTCTCAGCAGTGGATGCAGGATTTGTGAAATGCTCACAGGGCCCTGGCAGCAAAGCTGTGTGCAAACAGCTTTGTACTCTGGCTTGTCTGCTTACAGAGCTTCCCTCCCTCCACTGACTCCAGAAGGAGCCTACAGGGAATTAATTGGCCAAGTCAGTTGTTGGTGTTTGGGTAGCAGGATTCCCCTGCAGTGTCAGTATTGATAGTCGTGTTGGGGTTGCAGAGATGCTGCTTATGTTCATGTGCCAGGCACTAGAATACAGAAAAAGCTGTATCATAAGGTTCCTGTAGGCCTACAGTCAGTATAACTGTACAAGGTAAATTGCTTCTCTGCTCGGGGTGTTCATGGTACAGCAATCCTTTCACTGTGTGTCATAAATGTACTCCCTGTTGTATTCCCCAGCTTTTCCCACTGACCCCGGACCAGCGGTGGCAGAACTCCAGCCTGCGGCCACTGGCCCTGGCACTGCAGCAGTCGCTGGGGCAGGAGCTGGCCCAGATCCGCCAAGGGGCCAAGCCAGAGAGCGGGGTGACAGCCAGCGGGGTGACAGCCAGTGGGGTGACAGCCAGCGGGGTGACGGCCAGCGGGGTGACGGCCAGCGGGGTGACAGCCAGCGGGGTGACGGCCAGCGGGGGCACAGCCAGCGGGGTGACAGCCAGCGGGGTGACAGCCAGCGGGGTGACAGCCAGCGGGGTGATGGCCAGCGGGGTGACAGCCAGCGGGGGCACAGCCAGCGGGGTGACGGCCAGCGGGGTGACGGCGCGGCTGCTGCAGGCCGTGGCTGCGCTGCTCAACTCCGCACACGGCGGAGCCCTGGTCATGGCCATGCACCGCCACCACTTCATCTCCTGCCCGCTCATGCGCCAGCTCTACCAGTACCACGTGAGTGCCTTTGGGAGCGTTTCATACAGAGGGGTGAGGGAGAAATGGGAAATCTCTTTGGGAGCATTTCATACAGAGGGGTGAGTGAGAAATAGGAAATCTCTTTGGGAGTATTTCATACAGAGGGGTGAGGGAGGAACAGGAAATCTGCAGGGCATCTGCTCTGCTGTGTGCACACTTTGTAATGCTCAGCTCAGGTTGCCTGGCCGTGGGCATCTGGATGCAGGCTGGTCGCATTAGCCTGGCACTGCTGAGGTTACCTGCAGAGTTAGTGTACCTTACCCAGCCTGGTAACCATTTTTTGGATTTACAGCTGTAGGTCTCTGCTGGTTTTGGGATCTGTAGTTTGTGCTGTTCTGCAGCATTTGACATGTCTTGCAAGTCAGGGCATTTGCAGACAGTTTGAGAGCTGAAGTCTAGTTTATAGAATAAAATGGTTTGGGTTGGAAGGGACCGTAAAGATCACCTAGTTCCAATTCCCCTGCCATGGGCAGGGGCACCTTTCACTAGACCAGGTTGCTCCAAGTCCATCCTACCTGGCTTTGAACACTTCCAGGGATGGGGTGTCCAGAACCTCTGGGGAACCTCTGCCAGTGCCTCACCACCCTCACTGTAAAGAATTTCTTCCCAGCGCTGCATGCCACAGGACACTGCCTTCTCCTCGCTCTTCTTCAAAGTGCTCATGCAGATGCTGCAGTGGTTGGAGAACCCCGCGGTGGAAGATGGTCCCCTGCGAGCTCAGCTGAAGGCCTTTGCTGTGCAATACTCCTCAAGGCACAGGATCAGTGATGGTACTGGCACTGGGCAGCTTATGTAACTCAGAGGGGACAAAGTGGGACAAGCAAGAGACAAACAAAACTGCACCTGGAGCAGGAAGTGTCATGGGCAGCCTTTTACACAAGTGTCATAAGGAGTTACAAACGTAGCACATTGTGCTGCAGAAACTCTTTGAGGCTGTGAACAAGTGCCTTAGCTCTGGGGGCTTGCAGTAGGCACCTGGTAGCATCTCACTAAGCACAGCAGATCTCTCAGGGAAAACTTAAAATTTCTCAGGCCAGGAATTCTGCATGAGTTGTAGTTTTGGTAGATGAGCATGCAGGAATGCCTCTGGAACAAGGTCACATGATGACTTGTAGAGTTGTTTATCATCTGCCATCCCTTGGGAGCAGGAGTCTAACCAAGAGCTTGGGCATGGAAATGGGTTTGTGGTCATAGAGCTTTTTCTTAGCCACATGTCCCTGTAACACACAGGAGAGCTGTCAAGGGTTGTGGTGGCTATAAATGGCAGTCCACAATGTATATTTGTATGTTTGAATAGTTGTGCCCTGGAGCTACATGGGGAATCTGTAGGAGGGAAGTCTGATGTGGGGGCTGGCTTGTCCCTGTGATGCCAGTGCTGTGATTTTGTTACAGTGCGAGGTGGCTTCTTGCACCTCACAGAAGCTCTTTCTTTCCGTCGTGACCCGGACTTGATCAGCTCCACAGTCTGTGCCATCATTGCAACCCTGAAATCAGGAGAGAAATGTAATGTGGAGCCAGAGCTCATCAGCAAAGGTATGAATGTCCTGCTGTCCTTTGTAGCAGCAGCTTGAACTTCCATCCCAGCAGGGCAGTGCCTAGTGTGCAGGCTGTGGGAATCTGCCTTCTCCCTGGATCAGAAAATGTGAACTGATGCAAACTTGGCCCTATCCTGTATCACTTCCTTTCCCCCACTGTATGTGGGTTTATAAACTGTGATCTAGGGCTCAGATTAAGTCTCTGAGCAAACTGTTGGTTTCCACTAACAAAAACAAATGGAAGCCTATTATCCCAGATAAATGGTTTCTGTCTTCCTCACTGAGCCTGGCTATCAGGAATAATACTTGCAAGGTTCCATACCTTTTACCACATACTGAAGTTAATGAGTGGCATCTTTCTCCCTCTGCTAGTCCTTCAAGGTCTGATTGAAACCCACTCTCCTTACCTGGAGGAGCTCCTGACTGTCCTCTTCTCAGCTACTGTTGACACCAGGTGTCCTGCCATGAAACCAATTGCTGTGGTGTGCTCCTTGTTGCTCCAGGACAAAGAAGAAACACCAGTAAAGAAGGAGGTGGAGAGTTGCAGGTGAGCCAAGGCAATGATGGGAATTCACAGGTAGGTCTGGGCGCATGGTATCACCAGTGACACTGGCCTTTTTTGGTCCACAGTGCTGACTCGGCTTGGCCAGGGCCTGCCTCTGGTCTTCTCAATGACTGGCTGGAGATGTTGGACCCAGAGGTGATCAGCAGCTGTCCTGATCTACAGCAGAAGCTACTGTTCTCCTGGAACAAAGTAAGAGTTGTTGGGCAGAGGGACTGCTGTGATGAAAGGACTTTCTGGGGTACTGACCTGCACCTGGAAACAGGGCAAGGGTTAGTTTTATGTTCTGCCACATGTTACTGTATGAGTTCCTAAGCAGTACAGGCTGACTAGAAGGACAGTTCTGTGCAAGGCTCACATTTCTCAGTGCAGGGCTTATGTTTCCTCTTATTTTTATATTTCCTCATCTATGTTCTTTTAAGGACTTCAAAGTGCTTTACAAACACAGCACGGTCCCATAACAACCCAGCCAGCTGTGTTTTTGTTGGTATTTTTGCAGACAGATGAATAGCTTGCCCAAAGTGCCATGCCAAAGCCCAAAGTGCTTAACCAAAGTTAAAGCTGAAACCGAATTTCATATCTGATGCCATGTTCTCTGAGAAAGTGCTGTCTAAATCCTTGTGCTGTCTGTTTTCCTGGGTCATCATCCCTCTGTAATACACAATATGGCATCTCCTACAGCCACCTTGCTACCAGAACCTGTTCATTACATCTCTTCCTCTTTTGGTGCTTCCAGGCAGGGTCCCAGGTGCCCTCCTTCCGCCCATACCTCTTGGCTCTTCTGACTCACCAGTCCAGCTGGAGCACACTGCACCAGTGCATCAGGCTTCTGCTTGGCAGGAACAGGGAGCAAAGGTGAGTCTTGTTTGTCAGGCCTAGCCAAGGGATTGTGTTGGGCAGCTCTGTCTGTCTGAGCGAGAACAAAACCTGCCATGTTCATGATGTGTCTGCCAGGAGATGTCAGTCAGCCAAAAACAGACTTTGTGAGAAGGATGCAGATTTCAGTCCTGCTGATTTGTGTACCTTGATATAAATATTACCTACTGTTTGATGGAAGCAGCACATAAAGATTTGGCTGTGTTCTAAACAGGAAGTGCTAATTGTGGGTAATCCATCTTGCATTGCCCTTGTTGGTAGTCTTTATGAACACAGGGTTTGCAGGATGGCTTGGATAGCAAACTGAGGGCTCTCTCTGTACTTGAGCAGGCTCTGATGGATCTTTTGGTTGTGCTAAACTCTATTTCCAGTCTTTCTCTAGCCCTTTCATTACATCAGCATCCCAGTTTTGATCTCTGCAGCAGCCCTAGCTCTGAGCTTCTATGCACAGCTTTCAAATGCTGAAGTTCCAGTGTAGTAGTATTGTTACAGTTATGGACCAGGAAATGCTAAAACCTAATAACAGCAATACTTCTAAAACTGGTAGTATTTCAGATTATTATTTTATTCTTAATTTCTTGCTCAAAATTAAATTACTTTCTCAGTTCAAGGTAACTGCTGTGATAGGGACAGTAAGGTCATTGGTCTGATTGTAACTGTTTGTGTTGATGACCAACTCCTGGCCTTGGTGTAAGGCTCCATGTAGCCCCCACACTTTCTGAATGCCATTTGTTCTGTTCTGTACGCTGTGCTGTGCTTATTGCAACAACTATTTAGTCATAATCTGGGAACAGAACCAACCCCCTTCTTGAGACTTAATAGGTCCTATTTTTACATTTGCAGATGTTTCTTTCTCCACAGCACTCATCATGTTTAGTGATGCTTCCATGTGTTCTTGTGCTGCCCGAGGGTTGTGTTGACTCTGATTGCAAATCTGTCTTCTTTTGTCTTCTGGCAGGTTTGATCCAACTGCATCCTTGGATTTCTTGTGGGCCTGTATTCACATTCCTCGGATCTGGCAGGGAAGGGACCAGAGAACTCCTCAGGTATTGGTTCAGTTCTTCCAAGATTCCTATCTGGATGGTGTGAGGGGCAATGTTTTCACAGTGCCTGATTTTTACATGGCCAAGAAGTGGCTGGAGTGATTCAGGTGCAGTGTGCCAAGTTTGCTGCCTGTACCTCAGCTGATTGCTTAGCTGCTCTGCTGTTACATATTACAGTGGCAATTTAGAGTCCAAAAAGCTGATAGGAACACATAAAGTTTGCCCACTTGGCATTTCCCCTGCAGCAGTTGCCACAATATCTGGTAAAGGCACAAGAGAGTGGCAAGCAAGCTAAAACTCAGCATGGGATAATTGCCATTTTACAAAGAAAAGGAAGCTGTGTCTCTTCTTTGTTTTGGTGACTGAATTATGCTTTCTGACCCATCACACTTGTTGAGATGGAAGTGAATGAAGAAGTAGAGGAGGGGTAAAGAGATTTTATTTGGGGCTGTGATGCTTTCAGAGCTTTAGATGTGGGACTGTTCTTAAGTCTGGTTCCTTGATGTAGTCAGGGAAGATTCCAGGGAAGGTTCCAAGATTCCAGTCAGGGAAGGTGTGACTAGAAGGAGCTAAGGATCTTGAGATTTAGTGTGGAATAATTTGGGGTGTCCTCTTGCATTACAGAAGCGCCGTGAGGAATTCGTGCTCCACCTGAGGGCATCAGAACTGATCAGCATGGTGGAGCTGATCCTGGCTGAGGCAGAGACCAGATACCAGAACGCTGACGAGGCCTCCTGCACGCTCATCCAGTCCCGACTGCCGCTGCTGCTCAGTTGTTCTCATGGAGACCTTGAGAATGTCAAAAAAGTAACAGAATATTTGACCAGCTGCATCCAGCAGTGGGGAAGCAGGTGAGGGTGCAAATGAGGAGCATTGTCTGCTGGAGTTGTAGTTCTTGGGCACAGGCAGGCAGATAATGATGAGACTTGCCAGTATGTCTTCATTTAAGAATATCGTGTTCCAGAGCCTGTATGAAAATGCACACTATCCTCCCCGAGGCTTGGGGAAATAACAAGAGGTTTTAAGTGGTACTCAGCCCAGGAAGCTGACTTCAAAAGTGAAATTTAAGGACCTTCTTGCTTTTAGGACTTCAGAATGAAATTCTTGACATGCTTGGGTTTTTTCTTTTGTTCTTGAAGGCAGTGGTTATTTTTAATTACTAGTTCCTAACGTGGGATTTCTTGTCTACTCATCCCTTGAGTCACTGCTTGTAATACATCCTGCTTCTGACTTGCTTTCAAAGCTGAATGGAGACCAAATTGTTTCCTAACAGCTATTTTAAGACTGTGGAAAGAACAGGAAGATGATGTTTTTGTGGCAGTGAAAGGAACTGACCTAATTCCAGCCTTACTTATGGTGATATTAGGAAAGATTCTAAGTAACTGTTGCTTTCTACTGCCTCCCAGTACAGACAATGTCAGGGATCTCCAGGGGTTTCAGGTGTGTAGAGAACATGCTGGTTAGTCTGAATAGTTGTGGTTCTGACTTCTTTTCCAGTCAGGATGGGGCTGACTGTGAGTACCACTCTGCACTGGAGATGTAAGCAGAGCTTTCTTGTCCTGTGTTCTTTGAACTGCACTTTGCTAACTCCAGATGGCCTCATGATGGATCCCCACAGACTGTGGATGGATCTCTGTAGAAAATGAATGATTTGAGCTGTTCAAAAGAAGTGAAGTCTTTAAAAACACTGGTTGTGATTAGTCATGTCTGTGTTTTCACATGCTCTGTTTGCCACATGCAGGAATGGTGTTACTAATCTGATGGTTCTTGGATGTTTGCTGGTTGAACTAATGTAGTATCCAGTGGCTGACCTCTCCCTTTTTCCTTTAGCTCTGTGGGGAAATGCTGCCAGGACCTTCTGCTGCAGATATACCTGCAACTACCTGAGCTCCTTGTGCCTATGCCTGAGATGCTTCTTACCAGTGAAGGAGCCAGAGACAGCAGCACTTGCAAGGTAAAGTTAGAGACATAGGAATACCCTTTTCCAGTTGTATATGCAGAATGGATGCTACCTTGATGCCCAGTTTAGAAGGTGAGGGCTGGCAAAAGCTTCCTGGGTGACTTTGGTATCTTTATTTTGCCCTTCTGATACCCCATCCCTACCTGCACTCTCCAGAGCAGAGAGTTCTGGTGTAGTTTATTTTGCAGTGTCCTTCTATCAAATAATATAAGCTCCACAAGCTTCTGTGTGCCAAAGGCTTCTGTAAGGCACAAGTGTGCAGGCATCTGATCCTGCTTTGATGTCTGTAGGGACTGTGGACTTCAGATCCCATGCCAGCTGGAACACTGCATCTGCTCACAGATTCTACCTGAAAATAATTTCTGTTAGCCCCCCTGTGTAGCTGGAAAGGAATTGGGAAACACTGCTGGAGAGCCAGGGGCTGGTTTGTACATTAAACTTCTTAACAGTTTGCTCATTATTTTTCTTCCAGCTTGATGCCCTGGTTCACAGATTCATTAACCTCCTCGCAGACACCAGTGACTCCAAGTCATCGGAAAGCCGCGTGTGGGATGCCAATATGGCCTGCAGGAAGTTGGCTGTGGCTCATCCCATCCTCCTCCTTAGGTACCTCTCTCTCCCTGTGTGTGGCTGGGGCTTATTGAAAAGCATCCACCCTTGTCCTAGAAAGGGAACAAACTTGCAGCAATCACAGTGATGCTGACAGAATTCACCTTCACGTACAGAAGTCAGGAGAAAAGGCAGCAAAGTTACATCTTTTACAGTGAGGCAACACCTTGTGTCCGTCAGGAAATAATCTTGGAATTGGAGACTGGGGAACAGAGTATGAGTGGGAAATGGGGCATGCTGTGTCTATCCATACAGGGATCAAGACAAGAACTCTGAGAGAGGATAAGGGTTTTTGCCTTCCAGGAACTGAGGTAACATGTAACTTTGAAAGATCTAGGCCTAGATTTTCTTGTTTGGTGTTTCAGGCACTTACCAATGATTGCAGCACTGCTGCACGGCCGCGTTCACCTCAATTTCCAGGAATTCAGGCAGCAGAACCACTTGACCTTCTTCATCCATGTCCTGGGGATCCTGGAGCTGCTCCAGCCGCAGGTCTTCCAGAACGAGCACCAGGCGGCACTCTGGGACTGTCTCCTCTCCTTCATCCGGCTGCTGCTGGTAGGAAAATCCTGCTTCCCTCCGTGTGCAGGCTGCTGGCCACTAGATGGGGAAGCTCGTGCAACACAGGGCCAGCCTTGGTGCTTCTCATTTGAAGGGAAAGCCTTCCTAAATGCCTAAGAACAAAAAAGTTCATTAAGTACCTTGGAGAGCTTGAAGAGGAGGCGGGAGATCAAGAAGCTGCTCCCTGGTACCCAGAGGTGCAGGATGGGGCAGTGCTTTGCTGCTCTTTTTTGGTTAATTCTCACCTTCTTGATCCTTTCCCAGAACTACAGAAAATCTTCACGGCACCTGGCTGCCTTCATCAGCAAGTTTGTCCAGTTTATCCACAAGTACATCACGTGCAATGCCCAGGCAGCTGTCTCCTTCTTGCAGAAGCACTCGGATCCACTCCAGTAAGCTTCCTTATGCCTGTTAGCCCATGCTCAGTCAGATTGCCAGGAGCTAATCAGACAGAAGACAGCAAGAGGATGTGACAGAGTAGCTGCTAATATGGCACTTTTTTACCCTTGGCTCCCTTAAGTCTCCACTGAAATGAGCAGCATATCTCTTCTTTATAGGTGAAAACTGTGCCCAAGGAAGTCACATAATGACTTTAACTCATATAATGGCCTAAATGTTATATTGAGGTATTATAGTGCCCTGCAACCTTTCCAGAGAGGCAGCTGGAGAGTCTTTCCCCAGAGCAGCGGCTGCAGGCTCCCACCTACAGATAAGTGAGGAAAATGCATTTGAGTGCCAGTTATGAAGTAAGGAAAAATCTTGTTTCTGCTTCTGAGAAGCTATTTGTTTCAGTGTACATATCTGTGCTCATGCCCTTATTGCTATTGAAAGCCAAACACACCACCTCTTTTTCCCAGTGACCTGTCATCAGACAACAGTGACCTAGCAATGCTGAAGTCCCTTCTGGCTGGGCTGAGTCTGCCTAGTAAGAGTGGCATCTTGGACAGGGGCTCTGATGAAGAGAAAGATGGTGAGTCTGGGTGGAAGAAGAGTTATTCCAGCTGATAAACCTGCAGTCTGTTTTGCAGTATTGGTGTTTTTGTGGGGTGTATACTGTACTTGTTCTTGTAACAGCTCCATGTGTTTGTTGGAGTGGAGAATGGCCCTTGTATGCTCAGCAGCTGGGAACCAGTATTTGGGATGGGTTAATTTGTTTTCCTGCCAGTGGTATCACTACTGGAGCAGAACAGCTCTTAACAAGGGTGAGTTTCCTGGTCGTGGACGTTGCCCTTTTAATCCACACTTAAGGACTGACCTGCTAGGGGGACTCTAAGGGTACATCCATTCTTCCACTGTTTACACCTTGCACAGCTTGCATGGGAAGATTATTCAGTATTAAAAGAGCTTGCAAAGCTTCCTCCTCAGTGTCAGCTGAGGGGGTTACAGGAGGTGCAGTGAGATTAGAGACAGTGTGAGAGACAGGAATTGTATCTCAGCATTGCTGGTGGCTCATGATACACCACTGCACTGGTAGGGAGTACTGGCCAGTCCTCAGGCTGTGAGGAGTGCCCTGCTTTCTCTCTCTCCCCTCAGATGAAGCAGCTGCTGGCTCTCTCCCCCTGGTCAGCGTGTCCCTCTTCACTCCCCTCACGCCGGCTGAAATGGCCCCGTACATGAAGAGGCTCTCCAGAGGCCAGACAGTGGAGGGTGAGTGAGGACCTGCTGTGCAAAGACACAGGGCAAATGCAGATATCTGTCAACCTTTTTACTTATCTGTCAGCAGCAGCCTGGTTTCCTCTTCCAGTCTTGTGTTTGGAAATCTCCAGCAGTTAGGATGTTGTTCCATTTCTGGATTAACTTGTCCATGGCCTCCTGTGATTCTGTGACAGAGGCTTCCTGTGATTCTGTTATCACTTAGCTCAGCAGTACTTCAGTGGCCCTTCTAGGCCATTTGAGATTGGCTCTTCTGGGCCATTTGATGGCCCCTTTGAGTCTCTTCAAGGATCTTTAAGCATTTTGGGAGATAGTATGAGTAAATCAAGGAGTGCTGCAGCTCTGAAGTGCTGATAGGAATGAAATACCAAAGTGATGAGAAGCAGGATTTGCTAGAAATCCCCAAATGGCCTTCATGGAAGAAAACCATGTTAATCTGGCATATGGGAACAATTATCTCCAAAGGTCTTCTGAAATTACAGGTGTCCTTTGTTCAAACTTAGGTTGTGACAATTTTTCTTCCAAGGTAGAATAGGACAAAAAAGTCCTGCCTGTAGCCTGTCTTTTAAAGAAATACTCTGAAGGTCTTTAGAAACAGAAGGTGTTCTGAAACTGAAACCTCTCACCCCATTGCACTCCTTCCCCTGCTTGGGCAGCTTGGGATGTGTTGATCTGGCACATCCCTGGTCTCCTCCTTTCTGAAGAACTACCTTTATTATGCTACCTCTGTGTGCAAGTGGGAAAACTTGATGGCTTGGGTGATCTGTTTTGTGGGGAAAAAGAAAAGATTCTTTGTTGGATCAGTGGATTTCAGTCACCTTTTCAACCTGTGTCTTCTCCCAGACATCCTGGAGGTGCTGACAGACATCGATGAGATGTCCAGACGGAGGCCAGAAATTCTTGCCTTTTTTGCTGTGAGTATTGGTGTCTCAGACTGCCACTGGAAGGAAGAGATTCTTTTCACCAGAGTCTGTTGCACAGCCAGCTTAAGCACTACCATTCCTCTCCGTTTTGGGTGGTTGTTGCAGCACCTTAGGAGAAAACTGTCCTCAGTTAGCCCTGGTGAGGGCAGACGGTATTTCCCTCCATTGCATACTGCCTCAGCTATCACATACTGTATGTCAGAGGAAGAATTAAACCTCTGTCCTCTTCCCAGGGCAAGGAGAGAACAGAACAGCTCTGTTGAATAAACTGGAAACTAGGGAAAACTCAGCTGTCCCACATGAAATAAGATTACAGAAGAGTACTTTAAAGTATTCAAAACCAGGATAATCTGTCTTATAAAAAGGGATTTCTGGGGTCAGCCAGTACCTGCTGGATTTGTGTTTGGCTGGCTTGGTGTGGAGGGGGAGTAATTCCAATCTGAGTAGTTTGTGCTCCCTGAATGGCCCTGTGATCCACATTTGTCCATCTTTCAGACAAACCTGCAGAAGCTGATGAGTTCATCAGAGGATTCCTGCCGAAACCTGGCCTTCAGCCTGGCTTTGCGCTCCATCCAGAACAACCCCAGGTGAGCACCACTGGAACTGAGGCTGTGCTGGCTGATCTGGGCTGTACTGACCCTGTCATGTTTCACTCCCAGCATTGCTGCAGATTTCCTGCCCACCTACATGTACTGCCTCGGCAGCCGAGACTTCGAGGTGGTGCAGACAGCTCTGAGGAACCTGCCTGAATACACCCTCCTTTGCCAGGGTACGTGGAGATCAGCCACCTTTGGGGCGTGGTTGGTCAAAACTGGGGTCCTGTGCTCCCCTGGGAAGTGGCCATGGATCGCTGGTGCTTAGACCAGGCTGTCAATATCAACAGTAGCTTTGGGCTGAGCTTCACAAGGGGGATTTGTCATAGAGACAAGGGGGGCTTCCTTGAAATAGATTTGCTCCCGTGTGGTTTTCTCTGAGTTGTGTGTGACCTCTCACACGATCACAAACCCACAGAGCTGTTAGAGGGGGGATTGTGCCAAGTTCTTATGGACGGGGAGATTTCTCATACAGCTGCAAATGCTCACCCAGTGATTGTTGGTGGATTGCTCTTGCCCATGGGGCCCTGGGGCCAGTCCTCACTCTGCCTTTCCCTTTCCCTTTCCCAGAGCACGCAGCAGTGCTGCTGCACAGGGCCTTCCTGGTGGGCATGTACGGCCAGATCGACACCAGCTCCCAGATCTCAGAGGCCTTGAAGATTCTGCACATGGAGGCCATGATATGAACGTGTGGTTCTGGGAGTTCCACTTCCAGAGGAATTAATTTAATGGATTCATCAGCTGCATTACAACCCTGTAAGAAGAACAGTGTATTGTAACCCATGTGCTGGAGGATCAGAGGTGATGTAGGCCAGACTGGGCTGGAAAAGAAGAAGGTGCTGACTGAAGATCAGAAAAGGGCAAGGATCAATCTGGCTGGCTAAGATGCCATTATTGTGGGAGAAAAATCTCCTAAACATTGTGCCAAACAGGGACCACTTCCTTCATGGGGTCTTGGGACAGTGGCTGTCGGTTTGTTTGGGGTTTTTTGTGTCTCCAAGAAGGCAGAGCTGCTGGGAGAGCAGAAGGGAGTGAGTGTTGGCCCTTACATTAGAAATGTCTGCACTCTCTGTGTTGGAGAGAACATGCAGATTTGTGCAGGGGGAGAGACCACTTTGGTTTCTGGGGGTGGATGTTTTTTTTATTTTATAATTAAAATTCTCTTTGTTTCCATTGTGCCTTTCTCTGCTCCCTTGGGTATAGCTTGACATCCCTCTCACCCTGTTCTTCAGTCTCTTGTTACTCTGGACAAAACATCTCTGGAAGACCTGTTTCCATGGCCCAGTGCTCACAGAGCTGTCTAGGCTTTTTGCAGGATGTGTAAGAAATGGAGCATATTTGGAAGGATCAGTGGGGTACCATGGATGAGTTGGGTCAGTACCAACTGCTGACAGGACAACTTCTAAGAGGTTCCTTGGAAAACTTTTGTTTAAAAACGAATAAAACAAACTTCTTGGTACATCTGCAAACATCCCAGCAGCTGGCCACTGTCACAGTGGAGTCTGAAGAAGCAGCTTTGTTTCATCTTTGGGATCTGCCAGTGCCTGCCTGTGACTCTTCTGACCACCTCTCACTGGTCCTTGCCTGCTGATAGGGGTGAGGGTTTATTTGCCAGCTGTCATTTGAGGATAGGAAATATTCCTTTCCACTGCTCCACGTGCTTTTTCTCCAGCCTCACTTAATTCTAATCACCAGTTTGTTCTCATGTAATTTGTCTCTATTCCTCTAGTGTTCCACTTGTTAGTAGAGAAACACTGTAGTATAGCAATGACAAACATCCTGGAGGAATTGTATCTGTATCTCCTTGCTGGTGGTGGGGATAGTTGTGAGCTCATAGGTGCCTGGGTGGGGTAATACTGGCTGTTCTTGCACATGAGGAATACCACAGCTGAGCACTTTAGCTGGTGTCTCAAAATATGAATGAATGTCTAGCTGGCTTTGCAAAGAAGTGGAGAAGAAAAGGGGGAGAACTGAACCTCCCATCAGCTCTAAGTAGCCTTGTATTTAAATAGAGATTAGAGCTATCAGTTATGGATGTAACATGCTCTTCTCCTCAGCAGCATCTGCTTTGCATCCGGAGCCACTACTGTGGCAATTAGCTCCATATAAATTATGTGGAGGAACTGCTGAAGGAGATCAAGTCATTGGAATGGGTTTCCTGAGGGGCTCAGTGACAGCAGGATTAAAGCCTGTCCAAGGGGAGCCAGTACTCTCACTGGGAACCCTTACCTCAGTCCCTTCTCACACATCATTAAGGCACTGCTCAGTTTGTCAGAGCAGGGAGGTAGTTCTCTTGGTGCTGCTGTGGGCCTAGAGCAGCTGGGAACCTGTGGGACTTCCTGGAAAAGGGCTTATAAGGACTTTGAGTCAAGGAGCAAGGAAGATGTCTCAAGAGTGTGATTGTGCAAAGCCAGTGACTCAAACACGATAGTGGTGCTTTGGTAAAGATCTCTACAGCTGGGGATTTCCAGAAATTCCACTCTGGAACTGCAACTAGAAACATTTACAGGCAAAACCAAACAATGTGGTTGGTCCCAAATTGTCCTGTGTCTGTTTTGCAATGCCTGTGGTGAGCAGACCTGCTCCAGGATGCAGGAGCAGGGCACGCTTGGATGTTGGCAGAACTATTTCATGACCCCCTCAGTCCAGAGCAGACAGGCTTTGCAGAGCTCTGTGGAAAGAGATGTGTCTGGGAAGGTGGAAGGAGCATCTCATTAACAGCAGCAGCAATCTCCTTTTGGGAAATCAGGAAATGAAGCCAAATGGAGATGATGTGGGTGGAAGTTACTCTGCAGAACTGAGACTTCCTATAGATCTCCCAGTACAAAAATCATGCTCTGTGATTTGTTGATCTCTCCTTTTTGCTGTGTTGAAGGTTCCCACAATGCATTTTCTGTGCTGCCATCCTCTGCTTAGACCCAGTGGAGCTCAGCAGGTTGCCTTGGCTTGAAGCACATCATCACAACCAGATCAGTGCTGGAAACAGCTGTCAGAGGGTGCCTGGCTGGATGGAGACAGCTCAGGGCAGGGCCCCATCCCTGCTCTTGGGGAAGGCAGCTGTGGCAGCTCTCAAATGTTGGTGACAGTGGTACTGATGCCCTGACACTTGCCTGCCTGTAATCTGTGCTCTGTGATTTCCATCTCTGCCTGGCTGAGCTGACAGGCTCACCCTTCACAGCTCATCCCAGGCTCCTCCTGGGGCTGGGGCCATCTTCTGTGTCTTCCAGAGCTTGTGCCTTGATCAGAAGAGGAGTGGTGACGAGGTTTGTAGGGTCTTTCCTGGCCAAGCCCATGGGGCCCCAGTGCAAGTCACTGCTCCCATCTGCCTTAGAGGCAGCACTTCCCAAACTGGTGCAAAATGCTTGTTTAAACACCTTTTACCATCATCTCCTGTAGTCAAGAGGTTTCTAAAGAGAACTGGGCTGCCAGAGCTGGTCTGGGGCTGGGGAATGTTTAACACTGGCTCATGGGGAGGCTTTTTCTCTTCTCAGATACACTGGGAATCCCTTGCCAGCTGTAGGGGAGGCATGATGGGGAAGACTGGCCAGAGGTTTGTTTCTCATCCTGTGGCTGCACCCAGCTCAGGGCAAGGCTGGCTCTTGTCCAGCATGCACATCATGGGCCTCCACTGCTTGGCTGGGCACAAGTGGGCATCTCTAAGCTGGCCATGCCACACACCTGGCACCCTGTGTGGCTGGAATGTGCCAATATCCTGGAGGTTTGTGGCTCTTTGATGCAGCTCTGGGCAAGGTTGTGCATCCCAGGAACTGTGTGGGGTATCCTGGAGCAGCATGTAAATTTGGTCATGAGCAGGGCATGACTGAGGAGGGAGGTACCTGCCTGTTTCCTGCCTCAGGGGCTGCTGCCTCTGCTGTGCCAACAGCAAAAGCACGGGGAGAGGTGTGCAGCTAACAGCCACCAACTGGGATTTCATGGCTAAAGGCTGATGTGCCAGCCATGAGAAATGAGAAGGAGTAAAGAGAAGCCTCACCTTGCAAGGAGCAGCAGGCAAGAAGTCTTGTGCAAAATAGAAAAGGAGAGGAAACCTCTCATTTTACCTGTGTCTGTGAGTGGAGCCTATCCCAGGACTGATCCCTGGGCCCTGCCATCCACTTCCTCCAGCCAACCTCATCTGTGACCTCCATCAGTGACAAATGCACTCCTGGCCCTGCCTGCCCTCAATCAACTTCCTTCTGGCCGTACCATGATTCAGGACAGTATTGTTCACACTTAATTCAAGGACTTGTTTGCTAAAAGCTAAAAATGGTAAGACTTTTGTTAACTTCAGGACAGTCAAAGCCAGCCCCATGCCATCCAAGTAGCCTGGCTGCTATAGAGGTAGCATTTGAGCATTTGCCTGAGGTGGACTGTTCTCTGTGTTGCCTGTCTGCATTTAGATAATGTGCCCCTAAAGTAGCAGAATATAGAGCTTGAAATTTCCCGTCAGTTTAAAATTAGAATACCTCTATAACAACATATCTGCCTGTCCTGTGTTGCTGGTGGTGTTTTGGTATCAGCCTGTTTGCAGAGACACCATCTCTAACACAAGATACAGGCAAAAATTGTCAAGACCCCCAGCAACAATTAAAAAATTAATTAAGCTACAGTAGCCCAGTCATTGCTGGGTAATTATTAAGCTGTAAGAATTGCTAATTGTCTTATTAGCATTAAGCAATTATGCAAATAATGGAAAACATACCATAAGAGTAATAAAATTACCTCCCTTTCTCTCTCTCTTTTTTTTTTTTTAAACCAATAATGATATTCAAAATTCAAAGCGATGCATATAGTTTTATTGTGAGTATCTTTGGAGAGGAGTGAGACCTCTAAGGGTGCTCAGCCCTTTAGGGGCATCCCAAAACACATCCACCATGAGTTCTCTTGGTGTAGTGCCCCACTCCAGGCCATCCCTGATTCTGCACCCACCAAGGCACCAACACAGGGACACGGTGCCAGTGGCTGTGGAGGACACAGAGTGGCCAGGACTGGAGAGTCACAATTTTTACTGTCATAGATGTTCTAGTGAAGTCCCTATTCTCCCCCTAATAAAGCACATAGTGCTTCAGGTTTGGTCTGGGTGAAAACAAGGCAGTTTGTGGTTTTTCCATCAATTCAGTGCAGAAGTGGAAAGTTTTGGTCTTTAGAGTTACTCTGTCTCAAGGATTTTGTTGCTATGAAGTTCATAACCTGAGGTAAGAGCTGGTTTCTTTTCCAGGTGAGGTTCCAGCTGGATTTCAAGGTTCAGAAACAAGCTGAATGATGAGCAAGTGTTTTTGTGTTCCTTGAAACAACTTACCCTCACTACCTGGAAAAGGAAACTGCACTTACTCATATCTACAATAGGCCTGGAAAACATGAAGTGCTTTTTTGCTTCAGCACGTTCACACTGTTAATCACTAACAAATTTTATTTGGTTTATAGGCTTTAAATTCTGCTTTACTGATAAGACACAGCATTTCAAAATGCCCAAGCCAGTTCCTGCTCCAGGGTGTGTTCTGCTCCCATGGTTGTGCCTTGATAAACCTGGGGTCACTTCACCCAGTTGTGTGATCCAAACAGGTTTTGGTCTGCAAAACACCCCTTTGCTTTCACTTTCTGACAAGAATGGGGATGTTTGCAGCTCTTGGAGGACCAGAAAGAGTGTTCTGCCGTGGCAGTGCAAAGACTGGGGATCACCATCATGTTTCCCCTCCTTGGAAGACAAGGGGAGATCACCTTATGAAATAAGTACTGCCCCCAACCCTGTTGGAGTGCTCCTTTCAGCTCCCTGGGACTGGTGACCCACCAAACTGCTATTTATGCCCTTTTCATTTTTCCTATCTCCTGGTGTGTAGGATGCAGATGTGAGCAATCTCTTATCTTTGCTGCCTGGAAACAACTTTCTGAAATCACCCTCTAGCCTGTCCTTCATTTCACTCCACTGGGGGACAGAAGCGCCAGCAGGACATCTGGCTGCTGGGTAGGAGGGACAAGGGAGAGAGACTTCTTTGTGTTTTGATGTGATACTGTATTATACCTAGGTGATAGGACACTCTTTTTTTCTGGTGCTCACTGGTTTTGGTCCTTTGAGATTTTAGGATAATGGGTTTACCATTTATGAGCTTCTTGGGGGGATGTGTTGCAGAGAGATTTACCAAAGTGCCTTTTCCTGTAACTTCACGTTTCTCTTTCAT